TCGCTGTTGAGCATATATCTCTCCCTTCGATCCATCCCTACTAATCAAGGCAGAAGAAAGTTAAAGACATTGCTTTGATTAACCGCAGCTGATATTATTTCCTATCATGAACTGTAACATCCTGATTTTTATATAATAAATAAATTGTAAAATTTAGGTTTTGAGAAAAAAATAATAATAATAGGAATTTATATTATTTGAGGTTATTTAGAAATGATATTATAGTTAGGTATTTAATTATGAATTTAAAAATTTAAATTTAAAACCACATAAGCAATATTTAGTTAATATATAATACATAAATAATTTTTTTATGTGTGTTAAAAAAAAAGAGAAGGTAGAAAGAACAAAAAAAGGGGTAGAAGATTATTATTTTTAAGTCCCACATTGGTTAGATGAGGGAAGAGAAGAGATGCCTTCATGTATAAAAAGGAGGGGGTGTGTGCATTAGGAAGCATGAGAGGGTAAGATGCAATTTAAAGGAAATTGTAACTTTTGGCCCAAGAGTTTGAATAATTAAATTTAAACCTATAGTTTTTTTTAATATAATTGTGGGATCCAAAATCCCATTTTTATATTATTTTTCTCTCTTCCTCTCACGTTGCTCGGCGTCTTCTCGCAAGGGGGATTATTTTCTTTTTCTTCGGGTATGTTCTAACTTTCCTGTTTAGATTAGCATTTAAAAATTTATTTAATTACAAAATTAATTTTATAATTATTTTCTAAATAATATTAACTTTCTAGTGATATGATTATTTTGTAGGATAGAGTAAATATTTTGATTAGGAAATTTTCTATAGGATAGTTAATCTGATATATGATGAATTAAAAATATAGGTTAAAACTCTTAGGGATATAATAAATATTATAAAATATTTTCTTGAGGTTGAAACTCATATTTCAGAATTTTTGAGTTAAAATCTAGATCTATATGGTTGAATTTATGTGGAATCTGAGATGTAGGGATAAACCTCTGATTATTAAATATTTATTTAAGTATGAATAGGTATTTTTGAGATTATAAAAAGGTAATTTGAGGCTTCAGGATAATTCTAAAATTTTTAATTTATTTTTGGACGAATTTTTAGAATATAGAAGGATGAAATTGTGATACTAGAAGTAATTTGAGGCTTAAAAATAGTTTATTAGGGTACGAGAATTTTAGAAAAGAATTTGAGAAGTTAAATGAGGCATAAATCTTAAATTAGTGTTAATATGGATTATAGATCTAAGACTTTCTAACTCTTTAAATTAGAGTTATGTATTTTAATGTAAAATTAATATATAGTATTATGAAATAACTATGTAGATTGTGTTGACAAAGATAGTAGTGAAAGAGGAGTTGTGAAGGGAACTTGTTATTCAAGACACAAGGTAACCATTATTAATGTGTTGTGATGAGTGTGTTTGTGAATGGTTATGTGTTGACTTGTTTGAAAAAATTATGAATTATTGAAAATAAATACTGTTATATACTGGTTTGAAATTATTGCCAAGTGGGTCAAAATTTATTTTTATTTATCATGATGAGATATTATTGTTCGGATATATTCTTGTTTGAATATTTGAATGATGCATGATTGTTGCTCACCGCAAGTGTACGGATCGTAGCAAGTAATATAATGAAAGTAAAGTATCGTTCCCTCGAGGATTTGTTCAAAAACAATGATCAAGCAAAAGACTAAGTAAATTTGATCAAGTTGAGCTACACAAAGTTAGGTGAAATGGTTTTGCAAATGAAACTAACATGAGAAAATTAAGAAAGTGAGTGATTCACAAACTTCCAACACAAATTGAGACCTAGGATTAATTATCCCCCTTGCATTTCATAACACCAAAATTACCTCCTCTCATAAATGCTTTTAATGAAAATAAGTGCTAACCTAAGGTTCTAAAAATATTTGGACAAGCTCTCTCAAGTCATGAACAAGTGTTTAGTTAAATTAATTGCCCAATCTCTTGTTACAATTAATAAAACTCAATTTTAAACACCAACCCTAATGTGGCTATGCAAGGCTAACAAGTATATCTCTATCTTACTAGCAAAACCATCCATTCAACATGCAAATATCAAGTTCTTACACAATTTTACCCAAGTTCTACACTCAACCTAGCCCTCTCAAGCATCAATTAAGTGAACCCAACATCTAAATGGTGGCCAATCAAGTAGAAGCATTAAGGAAAGAGTAAAATAAACACATATATATCATTAATCACAAAAAGAGAGGAGAAATATGGTGTTAATCCATACAAGGGTTCCAAATAATCTTAGAACAAAGGGTTTAGCTACTCATAATCATCCACAAACTATAAATATACAAAATAAGTGGACCCATTTCAGATTACAAGAGAGGAAAGGGAAGAGGAATAGAAAAACCAAAGAAACTGAGCTCCAAATGTCTTTAAAGCTTCAATCTCTTGATCCCAACTCTTCCAATGCCCAAACCCTAGCACAACCAAGCTCCAAAAGTGTCAAAAAGTCTGAAGAATGCGTTCTGGGTCGAGCTCTCAGCTTATATGTATCCTAACCAACTAATTTTTGATAAATAAAACGCAGCGTTTTTCTGACAGCGGTGAAAGTCGTGAACGAAAGTCACGACTTTGACAGTTTTGCACTGTTTTTACAGCTAACGAAAATCATTCAATTAGCTCTTGATTTCTTCATCCAAACGCCTTCCAAAAATATCCACAAAGCTCCAGAAACGCTTCTAATCAAAATAACATGAAATTAGGCTAAAAATAACAAATTAAAGCCAAGAATACAAGCCCAAAACAAAATGCACATTTTCCTAATTTGGGCAATAAAAACATATACAATTAAACTAAAACGGATTAGAATCTAAGGAAAATGTGATGAAATAACATGAACTTCTAGAGGTTAACAATGACTTGTCAGGGTATTTTAATGTATGGTGTTAATGGGATTTTCTGTTCGGTTAATTATTACCACGTGGTAAGCCCTCATTGGACCCAATGAGTGGCGTGTCGCTTGGTCCAACTCACCTTTGGCCGAGTGATTTGGCGTCCGAGCATGGCGAAAGGAGGATATAAGGTGCAGTCATGTAATTAAATACTTGTTCGGTTTGTTTGAAAATATTGTTCGGTTAAATGTTTTATGTGCCCACTTAGCAATCACATGATTAGTTACATCTACATGCATTATTACATATTAATTTTTGGTTACTGAAACTTTTAAGTCTCATTCGCCGTGGTTAACATTTTTACAGGAACGAGTCCGACCGAGAAAGTATCAGAGGCGTAACTTTGGTATATGAGACACCATCTTTTACGTTGCCTCTCATTTTGTATTATGCAACGTATCTTGTGCCAACCTAGGACATATCTTCTTTGTGAAACATGTAAACTCAAATCCTTTTTATTAAATGTATTTATGTGACCAAGGGAATTACGTTTGTCCCTCTTGATTCATGACCTGATTTAAATATCATGCCATGAGAATCCTGTCTGCCCCTCATGGTTCTAATTGCTTTTTGAGATATTTTAAGACCTGTGGCATATTGTCTTGGATGTACCATGGTAGAAATTTTTCTACCATGATAAGGGTATGATAAGGGTTCAATAAAAAAATAATTTATTGAATTAATAATTTGTGAAAAATCAGTTTGTAAATTTGAGAGTGTTACATGAATCGATGTTGGAGTTGGAGTGTTGAATTAAGCAAAACTGAAGATTTTAAGCCGTGCAAGGTTCGATGGTGACCTAGGAGATGACATTGTAAATAAAAAATGATAATTAGAGAAATCAACATTTATAAAATTGGAATTAAAAATAAAAAATTAAAGTATACTTTTAATAATTTTATATAAGATTTCACTTTAGTTATTTAATTTTATAAAGTATTTTTTAATCATTTAGCCTTGATACTGTTATTTTTATAAATAAAAAATTTTTATATTAAACTTTTAAATATTAATAAAATATTTTTAAATATTAATATATTAATTTTAATTTTTAAAAATAAAAGTGATTAGTGTAAAAATTAATTATTTAAAACTAATAATATTATAATTAAAGAATTAAATAGATAATTTATAAAATTAAAAGATTAAAATGAAATATTGTGCAGTAAAAACGGTGTTTCTGATAAATATAATTAAATTATTGTTTTTTCCCTTTGAAAAACCAAAGGATCGTCCATTAGTCATCGATTTATTGGAGTTTTTCCAATACTATTTGATATAAAAGGTAGGGATATCAGAATATTGCAAAATTTGATGGATCTTGTAGTGAAAAGACGTCCGCGTGTTGCAGCACCGAAGAAAATATAGTGTGAAAGGATTGGGATCGGGATTACAAGGCCATGGAGTTTTCAGTCTTCGCGAATGGCTACTGTAGTGTAAGGCAGTGCAGTGGACGCAGTGCAGTGGACGCAGTCTCTGTTTAAATTATTTTAATCACATCAATTAAACTTGCAAGTTCCCATTGGCAATAGCCGTCGTATCGTACACTCTTCCTATTAAAAGAAAGGAAAGGAAACAGAGGATACACTGTACCAACAAACAAACTTGGCATGGTACAGTGCGCTGGAGAAATTGGTGGGGCACACTTTGTTTGTTGCGCAAGGCATATGAATTATTTTATTTGTAGCTGTCATTACACATTAAAGGAAAGGTCAAAAAGAGAGAGGATGAAACAGGTTACTTGTGGCGACACTTCGTCTTGTTCTTAAGTTTTCAACGCAACACTTGCGTAGTACTAATTCACTAGCATTGAGGAACGCTTCATGGTCAGAGACATTGATATTACATCAGCAGCAACCAGTTAATTTATTTTACGGCCTTCCAATTGACTCCTCCCCTTCCCAGTTCTCGCACACTATTCTCCTCCATCTCTTCATTCTAATCAAGTCAGGAAATATGAGGCATAGGCGCAGGAGAATCTGGGTCTCGCATCACGTATCCACTCAGGCAAAGCAACTTTTCAGTCCCTGCCATGCATGAAGAGTTACAAGAGACTAATAACGGATGGAGATAGTAGAGTTGAACATAAGAACTGAATCGCGTAGACTGAATTACAAACTCGGCAAAACTACAAGGATGAGACAGTTAATTCTCCCAAATAGATATCAGCTATCATTTGTTCACCAACAAATTTGGCCAATTCTAAATCCATAAATTGGTTTTGGATCTGATAACGAAACGACAATGAATCTCAGCCCTCAAATTGTTCCGCGGAAAGGATTAGTTCCAAGTATGAAAATATTTTTTAAGGCCGAGCAATACCATATCCTGCCCCATCGGTTCTCGTCTCTATCAGCGCTCATCCATCATGAAAACAGAGTAGAACAGGGCAAAGTCCATTTAGATGTTAACTGGAGCGAAACCCAAATTTAAAAGATAAAAACCTCCATACAAGAAAAAAAGCAGCAGCTTTCTCCGTAAGTAGCTGAGTCGTACGATAAAACAAAGATCAATAATCTTATATCCATTCAACGCAAGACTCGTCAGAATGTTCCATGGAAGTAATGAAGGCGGCGAGTCAGCTACCATGAACCCACAGCACCAGCCGCAGGGTTCCTGAAACCAGAGAACTCCCAGAATGTTTTCAAGGAGAATGGTGGGTAAAGAGTTGTTCCTTCTTCAGTAATTCTAGCTATCTGCAAATTTTGCATTACCTTGTAAATATCATGTTGAATGGACAATTGACTCGAAATGAACAACAGAGACAAATTTAATTTCTGATTCAGGCCCACATTGCACTCATATGCAGATGACACGGATTGTAAAACACATACAGTTCGTACGACATCACGCATTTTCGACATTTCTAACACACTGAGTCCTGTTCAAACATCCCCCCCAACCCAAAAAACAAAAACAAACACCCACCCACACCCACACCAAGTGAAGAAAAATATATAAAAAGTTGGAACACGAGTTGAAAGTTGGAACACAAAATGCAGCAATCATCCATTTTTAGCCTAGTCATGATGACCACTACACTCCAAACATTTTCCCCATTTCTCCACACGAGATCCAACTCAGGACACATCATCCATTTTTAGCCTAGTCAATTTGAATCACTTATCATGTCAAATCTAAAACATCAGAGACCAAAACTTACGTGGTTGCAAATAGCTTATGACAGGGAAGGATTTGAGGGGGGAAACCACAAGGAACAAATTAAAAGTTCAGGTAAATTATAGGAACCAAATGTACAATTTTCGTAAAATATTAGCAAATTAGAACTGTTTCCTTATGTCCTGTCCTGCATCATCACAAGTCACAATCACAAAAAATACGTTTATATTATTATATCAGAAATTAATTTTCCTTTCTTCCTCCAATTCTTATATGGGTCAAGTTTCTATACCAAGCTATGTTGGGATGAACCAACCAAATTAATTAGTCATCTAGAAACGTAAACTTCCAACGTTTCCTGACTAAATGAGGATTAGACCCCAAAAGGATCCAAACCTGTCTAGAGAAGGTCAAGTGATGAACTAGATAGCAAGCAAATAATTGCTTAGCAGACAACGACCTACTTATGGAACCGCCTTAAGCATCTGTCATATCATTTCTCAAGGTAACAAATTGAAAAACCTCTGATTGAAAAGAAAATAGAAATGTTTTCTAAAAAGATTTAGCAGAAATTCAGGAAGGAAAAAAAAAAGGTCATTAAATGCCCCCATTACCTTTTGAAATTCTACTGATAATCCAAATGCAACCATAACTCTGGACAGTATCAGTAAATGGAAATGGGGGGAAAAAGACGAGTATAAAGTAAATGAAAGCTCTAGCAACCGAAGATGGAGTGAAAGAGCTATATTAACGTATTAGCTGATTTGATGAGAATATTTTATGGCATGAGCATTGTACCTGGCCCAAAATCAATGAGCATGCTAATTCTGTGTGATGGACTGATGGTGCTATGCTATTAACAACAAAGATTTGAAGGACGTAGTGGTATTTTATCAACAACCTCTACATGGACTTTGCTCCTTTGCAGCATGCTAATGAAAGCTACCTATTACTTGGGTTGGGATTTGGGAGCAAGGTGGATGGAGGAGGGGAGATGAGGAAGGGTAAGAGAAAAGAACCTGAATCTTGTTCACTGCAGACCTATCACGATATAAAAGCACTCGCATGCACTTTTCCAGCAACTTGACACCTTCTTCAAAGGTCAAATTTTCATTCCATTCATCACGAAGAATTGGCCTTGCAAGGTGGTTCCCAAGCCCAGTTGCTACATGGTTGTCATCAAAATTAATGCCAATCATGTTAACCTGGAAACAATTCACAAAACTGAGTAAAAACTAAATCTTGTAGGTAACTCACTCTCACATTGGAATCAAATACAAAGAAACTAAAGCGTACCATGCCTAGGTACTTCTGCCCGTTTTTCACACCACCAATAACAAGTGAGTTCCACAATGGATTAAATTTGTTACGTCTATTATACATCACACGGGTCAAGTAGTTGTGCACCTCCTTAGGACCTAGAGAATTCCCATCATCCCACATGTTGTCATAAAGGCTGCACCAGTCATAAGCCAAAACCAATAATTACTCAGAAATGTTCCTTAACTGATCTTAAAAGATAAGGGATTCGATGGTATAAGGGGATAAAACATGCAGAATATAAATAAGCCTGTCCCATCAAAGGGAAGGAGAAAAGCACGTGCAGAGATTTTAACATAGCAGTTCTCCCGATCCTTTTCTGATATGTGTTAGCTAGGCTTACATGAGTTCATCAAGGTAGCGAATAATCTCCTGAAAATCACTAATTTCCCCACTGGCACCAAGAAGAGTATGTTTTCCAATAGTTTTCAAGCGCTCAATACTCTTGTATCGCAACGTAGACCCGTATGAACCTATCACAGTGGATCCATCATTGCCATGAGATGCAGAGGGAAGCTTTTAGTGCAAAACTATAATTCCATAAAGCTGATAAAATTTATTATCAGAACTTCAGAATAGTCACAAATCATATCTTGAGAAAACCCAGAAAAACATTTGGCTCATATAAGTTTTATTTTCACAGCAGTAAACAAAATTTTTAGGGAAAAAATTGAAACATAAATCCCAATCCCATCAAATAAGCTGGAGTTGACTCAAACTGATCCAATATCCTATTTAAGGATGACAAAGAAACTCTAATGCTCACATTTTCCACAATGAAGTATTAAGTAGAATGACCGGGTACACACCCACAAAGCAACAGACTATAAATGGACACACAACGAAGATGGAGTTGCAACTGACCTCCCATATCAGCAGCCATAAGAATGCCATCTTTATATTTGATGGCAACCACTGATGATCCCGTTACGTAGGGGTACCTACAATGAAAACGAAATCTAGGGTTGGCACTAAACATTCCTATTGAAAACAAAATATACGAATGGAAAGTTTAGAGCCAAATTGAAAATCGAACACTCCAGTTTGGAGCTGCTCAAACCCTAAAATTCGCACATCATAAACATAAGAGGGAAAGAGGGAGAGGATATACAGAGTTCTCTCTGAATCAGCCTCATAGCCCATAATGCTTGGGGTTGTTTGGACTGTGCGAGTGAAGAGAAGATTCCGAGCTCTCTTCTTCGTGGCGAAGCTCTGATGCTTTATGTGCGCGTCTGCGAGGTTTTTTTCCCCCTCCTATTCTGTAATGTAATCAATGTACCCATTTTTTGGCCAGAGAAAAAGTGATGTAACCCTCTTAACAAACAAAACTACTTTGAAAATAAAATCTAAATAAAATTTTATTTCCACGAGAGAATGCAAGTCTGTCTAAACTCTAATGTCTATTGCTCGATGAACAGAGTTAAGGTCTAAGGGGGAAAATTCATTGATTTGAGTTATTAGACGACTAAGATCGTTTGGATCTATCAACTAATAAATTGTTTTTTAGTTAGACGAAATATTATTTTTATATTAAATTGAATCTATCAACTAATGTCTCGAGCTTGATTCAAAAAGAAATGAAAAAATAGCATTCGAAAGCTTTTCACTTAGTGACACTGCCTCGGTTATGAATGACCTTGGGACTGGTTGAAATTATTTTTATTTTATTATTTTAAAAATTAATATTTTGTAAAACATATTTTGAGAAAAAAATAATAAAAATAAATTTTTTTTATTTTATCTTATTCTTCAGAACAATAATCACATAATACTTAAAAGTTGTTTTTAATTTTTTGTTCTTCGAAACAATATTTTATTTTTTTGTTCTCTAAAATACTTTTTGAAAATATGCTATCAAACAGATTTTTTTTCTCTTGTTCTGAAGAATAGAAAATTGTTCTCAAAATAAATTTCCAAACAAGCCCCTATCTTTGTAAGTATAGCACCAATGAAGGATAAAATCTGGACTAAACTATAGGGGTGGAATATCTTAGAGAAGATCAAAACGTGCCCCTGGCTCTTGGGCAAAGATAGACTTCATACAACAAGCTCAAGGGAGAAAAATAAAAATCATGGATTCCAATCAATGTCCCCTGAGATGCGGTGAAGTAGAAACAGCCATGCACATTGTACATGACTATCGTAGTGCTCAAGAATTGTGGAAGAAACTTGTGAAAGCTGATATCTAGATACAATTTCTGAGCCTTGGTTGTTTAGAATGGATTAGATTGAACTCTATAAAACAAGCAGGTTCTTACTCTAATTTGTACCTCCCATGGCCAATAGCCCTCGCTTGCATATGTTAGGAACTTTAGGTTACACGATGTAAAATGTTCTCGATGACCAGAGCTAGATTATTCAACCAAACCCTAATAAATGCCTGTTGAAAGCCTTAATTGATTCTAAATGGTTAGGAAAACTCAAAGTAGGTCGATTTATGTCTAGTGGCACAAAGTCTTAACACCCACCATCATAAGGAGCTATAAGACTTGATGTCGATGGTTCTTGTCTAGATGAAGTAGTACCCTATAAAGGATATATCTCATATGACAAAGGAGTTTGGGTAACAGGCTTTAATTCTAAGCTTGAAAATTATCCAACCATAAATTGCTAAAGTTTTAGCAATTTCTGAAAGCCTTGATCTCTGTTGGATTAAGGGGTTGAGAAATGTTGAAGTCTACTCAGATAGCATGGAAGTAATCAATCTTCTTATGAGAGGTTATCATGAGGAACACCCTTATAGGGATATCATTCAAAATGCTTGTAATTTCATTCATAGAGATTGATCTATTTCTATTAATTTTGTTTCTAAGGACGTCATTAGTCATGTCCATTTCCTTGTCAGTGAAGCTCATTTTATGGAAAGTTCATTTTGTTTTTTTGATCATCCCTCATCTAATATTACATTAGGAGGTGTATGATGATTAAGTTGACTCTCTTTGGTCTTGTATTAGGTTCTTTGTACTGTCCTATTTGCTAACTTTTTATGAATTTTAGTTTTCATTCAAAAAAAATGACCTTGTTATTGTAACAAGATAGAAATTCCTTGATTAAATTTGGGTGATCTATATTTAAAAGGTTAAGGTATATTTTTATCTTTGAACATTTTTTCAAAAAATACCAGCATCCTATATTGATAAGTAGGTTAATTTTTTCCCAAACTATTTTTTCGAGGAACAAAAAACCTCTTCTATTAGTAGTTGTTAACATTGTCATTTTCTGCTGACATGACATGTGCATAAGCTTTGTTAGCAGTCATTGACTTTGCCATTTTCTATTGATATGGCATGTGTATGGGCCTACGTGCAGTAATAGGTAAGACAACCATATTCTTTGGCATTAATTTTTTCCTAAACTATTTTTTTCAAAAATGTAGGCACTCTAAAGTCTTTTTTTAAGGATGATAAACACCCTAAAGTATTGTTAAAAAAGTAATAAGTATTGCTAATAATATTTTCATATTTGACAATTTAAATATTATTATTTATGAATATTCATCCAAAATTTATAAATTATTTTTTAAAATATTAATCACAAACTAGTTATTTATAAATTTTTTAAATGTATCATATTTTTTATTTATCAACCATATTTTTAATATTGATTAAATTTCTTAAATTTTTATATCCTTCTTTGTAATTTTTGCGGACAACTAACAATTTTCTTTTAAAATATTACACCGTCCAAATTTAATATTCTCCGTATGTTGCAGTATTAGAGATAAAATTAGAAACATAGCAGATCAAGATCAACATGCTAATACAAATGTTTATTTGAAAAATATATATTATCCCATTAATGTGCTACAAAATAAACTACTTAACAAAAGAATAATAGAGAGATAAGGGAGAAAAATATTTCCTTTAATTTTGAGATTCATTTTTTTCATTTTTAATACAAAGTTGCAAATTATTAAAATATTAAAATTTAAAATTGGGTGGTACAATATTTTGAAGGAAGACAGTTAATTAATCAAAAAATTACAGATAAGGACCTAAAAAAATTTAAGGAACATAATTAATATTAAAAATATGATCTAATATTACAAATCACCTAAAAAATTACAAATCATCTATAAATTTTTGAAAAAACTACTTTGAACTACTAATATTTAAAGAATAATTTATAAATTTTAGATGAATATTTATAAATGATGATACTTAAATTATTAAATGTTTATTGAATTTTACTTTAACAAAACTTTAAAGTGTCTAATGCTTCTAAAAAAAGACTTCAAGATGCATAATGTTTTTTAAAGAAGGAGCTTTTTTTTTTTAATTGAAAAAGAAGGAGCTTAAAGACAAATAAATATCAAAAGACATGGTTAGAGTCCTATCTATCACTCTTTCACTGTGCATGGATTTTACATAACAAAAAAGAGACAAGTTCACGGCTGATTAATAAAGGAGTTTTTTGCTCCTTAGAAAAATAGCTCAAGGAAAAAATTACTTCATTTATTAATATAAGAAGCCCAATATTGCTCCAAGAAAAACAGAAGTAAAAATACATCTTAACTCATATTTAAATCTCAAAGTTGGTAATTTACAGTTTTTCATTGATTTATCTTTTTAATGAAGTCTCATTGAAAAATTATTCATTAAACAAGAATTGACTATCCATGTTCAATCTTTGTGACTAATATTTGTAATGAATATCATGTGCTCGTCATAGTAATCAATATGGTATATAATTTCTTTTTTTTTTAATTACACAGGGCCAGCAAGTGTTTAGAGTGCCCATGGAAATTTTTATCCTTTAGGATACGTTACGAGCCATTAATGTTCAGTTCAATATGGAGAAGTGTTTTTTGTAGAAATAACAAGGTACGTAAAACCGGACCGGTTATTAAACCGGTCATGATACTAAGTCACGGGTTAGTGGTTCAATCAGGGTTGAACCAGTGGCAAATCGGTCATGATTAAAATAATATAATTTAAATAAAAAAACATTAATTATAAAAACATTCAACTAAATCTAACTACTCAAAAGTCTAACAATAATAAAATATTATATTTTTGGACTTAGCATGCTCTGCCTCTAATTTTTCATTTTTTGACTTCAATTTCACTTTTTTTATTATCTTATTTCCAAACTCAGAGCTCTAAAAAATTAAAAATGAAAAAAAATAAAAAACAACGTCATTTTGAGAGTAAAAGTTTGAAAAAATAATAATCCAGTTAACCCGGTCAACCCACAGGGTTATCCGGGTTATATCGGGTTGAACCCTGGTTAACCGGATTACACCGGTTCACTCTCTAACTGGGTTAAGGGTAAACCCAGACCGGATAAGGGACCGGGTCACCAGTTTCTGGACTAACCCGACCGGTCCGGTCTGGTTTTCAATACATGGAGAAATAGGAGTAGAAGTGAATGTAAGGGTATATTTAATAGATAAAAAAAAGATAAACATTTTATTTGATACTGTATTTATATATTAAAAAGATCAAAATATTCTTTAAAAAAGAAAAAACAAGAAGCACTAGCAGACATGGCTAGCCTACTTCGAACACCAACACCACCTCCCACTGGAGATTAGAAACATTGTTCACCACCTTCAAGTGATTACTATCATCACCAGGGCGAGTTGCATTAAAAAAAAAGTTATAAATGGGATATATAAATTTTGCACCTTTAAACTAAATAAAATTATTTAAATGCAAAGGCTTGTTAAATATATAATATTTTCCTAACTAGATAAGATATGAAGAAGGTTAAAATATATATTTAATTTTGTAACTTTACACAATATTTTATTTTAATTCATTAATTTGATAAAGTATCTTTTTAATCATTTAACCCTAATATTAATAATTTTATTCCAACAATTTTTTATATTAAATTTTTACATATTAATAAAATATTCTTAAAATTAACACATTAAGTTTAATTTTTTCAAAATAACAATGAATAATACAATGTTAGGGTTAAAAAATTAAAAAATTACTTTATAAAATTAAAGGATCAAATTAAAATCTTATATAAAGTTAGAGAATTAAAAGTATATTTTAGCCTATGAAAAACATATTTACATATTGAATCATATCAACTTGTTTAATATAATTTATGAAAAATAATAATCAAGTTATAAGAAATTCTTAAGTAGAATGGATGCACTACATCATTTGCAGTTTTTCAATAAAATATGACATCTAGATGACATTAAATATAAATTAATTCTAATATTAATAATAGTAAAGAGATAAAATGCAATAAATCAAAGGAGTATTTTGTTATAAGAATAAAATCAATTAAAAAAGTCACACAATATGTTCTTTAAATTACTTAGAGTGTCTTAATTAGATAAATTAAAATGACGTGGCGCACCTGGTCTACCTAAGTATTTCTCTCAGTTTATTTATATTATTACATTTTTAGTCATATTGTAATTACCATTTTTTATTATTAAATTTTTAGTTAAAAAATTAATAATTTTTAGGTTAAATTATCTTGCATCCCTGGTTCAACCACTAGAAACACCAATGACAAAATTGAATGGAGCAAAGGAAGTTTCATGGACAAGGCAGATTCTGTGGGGGTGAAGAGTAGACCTATTTCGAGTAGAGTTACCTTGGTCTTAGGGTTTTGAAATGTATCTTTTTTTGGCCAATGGCTTTGAAATATATTAGAAGCAACTCAAGTTGGAGTTATAGGCATGGGATTTTGAATGGGAAAGATAAGAAAAATGGATCATCCAAGGCCTTTGTCTTCTTGCCCACTTTGCTATCGACAAAGTTAGATGTACAACCACTCGTGGATGCTAAAGGTGAAAGCTGCCTTCAACCTCTATTGATGAGCTCAATTTCTTAGTCAAAGCTTGCCACCATTACTGCCTTCTCATGTTGAAGTTGTCGATGGGGGCATTAGGGAAAGAGGAGGGTGATCGAGAAAGAGGTGGAGAAGGTTAATCACATAGGAAGATGAAAAGCTCTAATTGTGTTAACTTTTTGAAGGAAACTAAGATGCAGTAGTCTAAACACCTTAGGATATTCTATTCTCAAAAAGCAAGCATTTTACAACTAAATCAAGCTAATAACCATGACAAGTTAAAATTCCAGAATTAAATTGATGATTTTAGAAGAGAATTTAGATGTTTAGGTTTGATTTTAATGTGAACAAAATGTGTAAGAATTAACCAAATATCAAAGTAGCTTTCCAAGATTAGAATTTATCACTTCCATCCTTATTCTTCCTCACCTAGTTTTAGATTCAATTGCCTTATTCAATTGGTGTGTGAAAGTGTCTTAATAACCATCAAAACTATGTGATAGTGATTAGAACTTAGTAACTACTTAGAATCTAATGTACAAACCACCCAAGATAGATATATCAATATGCGATGCAATCCTTGAATCCAGTCATAGGTCTTGCCTTGATCATATTTGAGACCTTAAACTAACAAAGGTTGTGATATTAATCAAACCTTAAGACCTAAACTATGGCTAATTGCATAACAACATAGTAAGAGATTGAAAAGAAATCATGTATTCATTCATCAAAACCTTGAGACATAAACACAAAAATTTATAGTGCATAGCTAGTTTAAGAATCAAATATGCATCCTCTCCTCTTTCAAATATGAATTTCAGCCATAATAATTAATCTAAGATCTAGAATGAATCATCAAGAGCATGAATTATATAATCATAGAATTAAAGAAGAAGAAGAAAAAATTTAGAGCAATTGAGAACAAGAGAAAAGGTTTAGGAGAATTCAAGATATAGCTTCATCTTCCTTGAAATGCTTTGAGAATCTAGCCTCTCATAATGAATTCTCCTTAAATCCAAGCTTGAATCCTCATTGATATGACTTTTATGCTTCAATATTTGCTTGAGATGAATGAATATGGCTAGGAAAGTGTGGAAAAATGAAGGAAAATGAGAAAAATTTTGGATGAAGTGGTGCTGAAAATTTCAAAAAAGTGAGAGAGAATATGTATAAATTGTAATGTAAAGAATGAGTGTGTATACGACCCAAAACCCCTATATTCAGTTTGTGGTGTAAAATGAGTAGAATAGGATATGTTTTAGGTAATTAAAGTTATAAAATATCTGAAATTACTTAATAAACTTAATTAGGAGGTTTAAGAATGAGATGGCCACCATTTAAGCTAGGTTAACTTAGATGCACATGTAGCTTTTATAGGATGCTCCATACTTAATTATAACTCAATAACGCTTATAAAAAGATGATCAAAGAATGATTAAGTGCTGATTGGTCAAAATCAACAATACATAAAGTCATTAGAAGCCCTTTGAATCAACTTTTGTGCACGCGTCACTTTAGGGCCTTCTTGCTTTGTAGTTTGTCTTGTAATCTAATATTTTGGCCATTTAATTTTCATCCAAATCCTTATTTACATTTGTAATTATGCACATAAAAATGATTAAAGTATGTGTGCAAAATTTCAAATAAAAACTCAAAACCAATTATAAAATATAATGTCATTTTTAAGGTCTTAGATTATAAAACGTGACAGCCTAGTATTAATAATGTCTTTGCTTTGAAAAATTCTATGGTTTATGTCTTTTGATGTATCTTTATAACCTAAAATGAATTTAAATTTCAAACTTATTTAATTGATTTTAGGAAGACAAAAGAGGTAAACTAAGTTAATGTCCCAAAAATTGCTAAAATGATCAAAATACTCCTCAACTATGGATGAACCTTAATTAATTCTAAAAGTTTAGAAATGTCTAAATATGCAAGAATTTAATTTCCAAAAATACAATATTACAATAAAATTATCTTAAAATGTACACAAATAATGTAACATGTTAGAAGGTTTGAAAGGTAAAACCTCCATCATTACAACTAGAGGTGGATTTTTTGAGAATTGGGTTCATACCCACCAAACATATAATTTTCAAACTTCAACCTTCATTTTTTTGGTTTCAATTCCAATGTGCCAGATAAGATGCAAGATCATTGGCTTGTATAGTATCATGGTTAGTTCTCCAGTGTCATGTGTATATATTTTTGGTTGGATATTCATCTAATAGAATCCAGCATTAAACAGGCAGGTGTAATATTTCACTAACCGAAGTGACACTGTAATTCATCCAATATCGATTAAAATAAAAAATATATAACTTTACCTCCTTATATTTTACTCAAATTTTATTACAAATCTCTACATTTTTATTTTTTAACATTCTAAATCTCAATAATGAAGGGACCTAAAACATTAACAAATAAAAGTGTAGAGTTCTACAACATAAAAAAATGTTAGAATTTATAACAAAATTTGAGTAAATTGCAAAAACATAAAATTATATTTTCTTAAATAATAAAGATTAAAGTATATTTTTAATTTTATATAATATTTAAATTTGACTTCTTAATTTAAAAAAAATATATTTTTAATTCTTTAATGTTATCACTGTCAATATCAAATGATTTTTTTTTTTTTTTGGCCAAACATTATTATTTTTTAAAAAAACTCATACATCTTCTCCGCACAATCATTAGAGTTGGTAGTTCGAGTCAAACTCGATGGGTTAGTCAGAACTCGCCTGAAAAAAGTTAAAGTCAAGTTTAAAAAAAATATGATATTTTTATGTTTGGACTAATTCGGGCTCGGGCCAAGCCTGATCGGGTTTGGATTTAGCCCGAATACCGAAATAAATTTTTTTATTTTTACAAAATATATAAAAAATAATAAATGTTAATTAATTATTTAAGTTTTAGATCATTTTATATTGAAATACTATATATTTTAGTCTTATATATCATTTAAGTATTAAAAAATATATTTTATATTTTTTGAAAATAAAATAATTAATTTTAAAATAAAAATTTGATTAAAAATAATTTTAAAAATAAAATTTAAATATTCAAAAAATTCAAAACTTAAAAAAATTTAAGTTAAATTTAACTATTCAAATTTTTTGAGGAGTGTTTGTTTGGATTTAAACTTATTCAAATCGGCTCAGATAAATCGGGCTGTCCAAATTTTCAGCTCTAACTACCACTCACACCCCCGAACCTTCCGCCTCCCACACCCATTCCTCCGGCCACCCAGAACCTCACCAGAATACCCGACATTTGAAAATCTGGTGCGACAATGGTTGGCAATCGCACAAAACCCACAATCTCAAAACAATGAAAAAACCAGCACTGTTGCCACCCCTGTTACCATTAAGCTTGGATTTGAGCATATAATCTTGTGTTTGCATCATTTTTGGGAATCTCCTCAACGTGGAAAGGCGACACAATTAACAGAAGAGCAAATCCCTGACCTTGCCGGTGAGCAAATAGGCTTTATTTGACGTTGAAAAATGTATTCTTTTGGTAGAAATTGCTTGAAACATGGTAGCTCCTCCCTGAGAAACTTTTTGAATCATCTATGCTCTACAAACTCGCTTGGGCAGCAATTTCATGAATCAGCTATGTTCAATAGTCCCATTGAACAAAAATATAAGAAATTTACTCTTTATGAGACTCATAAAATTGAACCCTTTCTCCAAATCTCTTCTAAAATAACTCCACGACCGCGTGAACCCCCTTGCTTTACTTCTCATCATTCAACCAAGCCACCTTCAAGGTCATTCCGAAGAAGAGCTCGCAAGAGACTGTTAAAATCCTTGAAGCCTACTCTAGACCAAGCCCAATTCCAATTGGCTATGTCCCAACTTTCCCCAAGGTTTACTCCTGAAGAACTCTGTAATATTATTACTTTTCAAGAAGACCCACTAGTTTGTTTGGAGCTCATCACAACAACTCCGGTTACTTATCACATAACCATCCAGAAGCTCGGTGCAGCCCAAATGTACCAAGAAATGGATGATATTGTCAATCAAGTGCTTGCAATTCCATTAAACTGTTCAGAGGCACTTTACAATACTATAATATATCATTTAACTGAAGCTCGAAAAATGACTCGAGCTGTCAATAATTTTAACCACTTGAAAAGTAGCAGAAATTTGAGTTGCAAGCATTCTATCGGAACTTATAATATCCTTTTTGCGGCGCTGTTGAGCAGAGGAATCAACTCTAACATAAATCATGCTTGTATGGATACTAGTAGATGTCTATTTAAGAAATGGTCAACGATGGGATAGAGCCTGATATATTTTCTTTGAATTCCAGGATTAAAGGTTATGTGCTTTCTCTCATGTTAATGATGCGCTGAGGACATTCCATCAGATGGACGTGGTTTATGCTTGCAAGCCTAACTCATTTTCCTACGATTATTTGATACATGGGTTGTGTGCGCAAGGAAGAACAAAGAATGCTTAAGAGATATGTAATGAAATGAAGACTTCAGGCTTCACCCCAATTAAATCTTATAATTCACTTGTCAATGCTTTGGCACTTGGTGGAGAGACCGAGGAAGCAATGAAATATCTGTGGGAGATGACTGAAAATCAGAGGTCGGTTGATTTTATTACATATAGGACTGTACTGGATGAGATATGTAGACAAGGAAGAGTTGAGGGGGCAATGAAGTTATTGCAGGAGTTTCAAGAGAAGGACCTTGTTGATGGGTATGCTTGCAGAAAACTTCTTTATGTGCTGGAAGATGATTATGGGAATTCAGTTAGCAGAGTTGATCCAGGTACTGAGCTGCCTTTCTTGTATCATTATATTCAATTGATTCTGTGTAAAATTACATTTAGTTTCAATGTGCCAAGGGTCATTTCATGATGTCTTTTTGATACATGAGAATATGTGAATAGCAGATGCACACACTACATATACAGCTGATGCCTTTCTTTTTGTCATTTCATGTAATTGGATGGTTCATTGGCACGCAATATAAACAGCTTTTCTCCTATATGCCTCATATGATCAATCTCTTGTTAAAACCCTGGGTTAACAATATTAGCTTACGCACTCTATATTACGAGGTTTTAGGTAGTAATTTTTTTTTTTTTTTGGGGAAAAACGGGTAGGTGATAAAAAGTTGTATGGGGAGAAGCTGCTACTGATAAGTAGTTTTCCATTTTTTTCCCTAGAGAAGCGACATCGGTGTATTTTAAATTTTTAATCAGCTAAAAGGAAAAACTGAAGGGTGGTATTTGATTGTGCATCAGTAGTCCTGTAGTTTCTTTGACCCCTCTTTGATACCAAAATAGTATTCCATCTTCCATGATACCTCAAATTACTGAAATTAGTGATTAACAATATTTTTCAAATATTTCATTCCCAAACAATTGCTAGCAATTAACAAGGTTTAGGAGTGAAGTACGTGCCGATTGGACTTGATTTGACTTTTGTGTCTCATTCATTTAGGAGTTTTCCACAACAGCACTTCTGCTCATGGCAGGACCCGATAAAAAGGAAGGATTTATCACTGCCTGATGCATATTCAAAGCAATATTCCCTTGGTTCATCCCATTCCTTGCAATGTTCTTGATCAAGATTGACGGTGTTGAAACCAATTCTCAGAAGAGATAAGACGGCTCTCGTATCGCATATTGGACTACATCAGATCAGATGGGTTATGGTACTCCAGATTTCATCATTTGAGAGCCCATACTCCCTTTCACAAAAGTTGCAGTTTTATTCATGTCATGTCAAGATTGAATTTTTCTTTGGTATGAGCTTCTCAGGTGGAAGCATAATTTGGAAGAACGGTGACCCACGGAAAAGACAGTTCTCTCTCTCTCTCTCTCTGGTGTCAGAAACAAAGGTCTCGTTAATCCCCAGATGCAGAATACGCTGACAGAAGGTTGGCTTAACCTTGCAATTTCGTCAAAGCTGCTGTATATTTACTTTTGTCCAATTGTATTGAAGGGAAATTTTTTTCACTCAAAACTACATATAGCTAAAAATATATACACACATTTGATTCCTAATATTTTGTTATTTTTCATGTTGAAGTGAAAAATCTTCACTCTAAACTATATATAGTCGAAGAAATATATCCATTACATTCCAAATTTAGTACAAGAAAAGTATAAATCTACGAAATACCTTGAAATGAACTAGTTTTTTTTTTTAAAAAAAAAATTTCTCTCTGCAAGATGATGAATTAATGATTGAATTTGTAGTGCTGGATGTCATCCGGGTGAGTTGTTTGGAATGATAGGATGAAATTACCTTTCTCGTTAGCGGCTTGAGACGTCACTTCGTTAGAAAGTTCAAGAGTCGTATTGGTTTAGAACTGAATGATCGCCATAGTCGACAAACGGTAAAATCGATGAAAAACAAGATTAAAGACGGTAGCTTTGGCTAATAATAGCGAATAGTTGCGACTAATAGGACAAATTTGACATCGCATTAAGCCTAGAAATGGACGCAGACGCTGACGTTTACCTTCCAACTCCTGAATAAAATTTGTGGGATAAGCTTTCTGTAAGTTTGGTTAATACCTTAATTGAACAAATTGAAAAAAAAAAAAAAAACGAAGCAATTGGAATCATACAATTACTTGAAGGACTATGGCCATGAATATATATGATCAAGAATTTGAACTTGGCTGCATAATGAGGTTCAGGCTATAGTAATCATACTCGAAAGTGTATAACATGTACCATATTATATCACATGGAAGAATAATTCTTCAAAAATAATAAAAGAAACTAACATTTTTAACAGGTGCCAAATTTAGATCATAACAATTTCAAAGGTAAAAACAGAGCCTAGAACACACGACCACAAACAGTGATGATTCTGGTGAAGAAGTTACTATGCAGCTTTAGCAGTGTAAGCCTGAAACAGATCGAGTAGGATGGCATCGTCCAGATCTCCATGCTCGTCATGTTTGATCCCCACAAAGTTTGTGAGGGAACCCATTTCTTGAATTGCATGAAGAGGGTGCGTATTCAGTGATCCGTGCCTTCTCAGTCTTATGATCTCCCTTCTGCGATCGTGATCCGTGATCCTACACCGCCAACAAGGCAAATTATGAGTGGGGAGAGAGAAACAAATAGGATCATAAATTTGGGTGTGCAGAATCAGAGAGAAAGCAAGTACTCTTGCGGAAGAGAAGCGTGGACGGTAAGGGTTATCCCTGAAAGACAGAGAGGGACGCCATAGGAGGCTCGGAGGTTGAATATGGACTGCATTTTTGGGTGCTGCGATAATAATTTTGAGTGTTGATAATCAGTGACAGTGAAAATGAGAGTACGAGAGCGTTTGGGGTGAAGTGTGGACAGTCGTCCTATCTAGATAGGAGGCATTTATGGGTGATGGATGATGGATCAGATCAAACGTAACAAAAGGTGCTGTAAAAGGGCCACCTAGCTGCTTTCATCTTTTTGACAATGAAATGGTCCATAGCAAGATAAAGCTGTACTATTCTTTTAATAAAAGAAAAATGAAAGCAGGTGTTTCAATGCATCTAATAGATGTTCATGAAACAAACAAAATAAAGTATCTGTGAAACAAATTGCGAAATTGTTTTTCTATCAATAGGCAAGATGAAAGTTAAGAACTTTTAGTTCAAGCAACATCTCCTGGCATTTTGAGGCAAAGAATTTCCAGATCAATCTCTCATATGGGTTAAAGAAAAACAATGTGCGTGTGGTCTTCGATGCGTGTGGGACCACTTCCTTACGAGGGAGGGGTAAGGGTTAAATAGGATAAGATAAAAAAATAGACATGAAAAATCCAATTTCATTGTTTACCCCAAGTCCCCAACGCTTTTCTTTTTACCAGCCTTGGCTATGAGTACCTTTTAAGCTGTTCTCTTACATGGTCAAGGCGGTTTACTATATATAGAATTTACCTCTCCTCAGTCTATAATAGCCTGATGACATTTCCATAGATAACGTAACAATATAACAGGACCTTTACTGCACATACCATGACCTTTCCAAATGAAAAATAAAATAAAATAACCCATTAAATCTATATAATTGATCACAGGTTGATTTTTAAGTTTATTCTTAAATAATCAAGGCGCTTTTTTCTGGCAGGTGACACACAGATAGTAAACATGATTGTTGTTACATGTAGAATGAAATTCTGACAGAGTATAAAAGACAAAGGGATAAAAATAAAACACAAACTTAGGCAGGGATAAAATGCGATGCAAGGCTAAACTGCACGTTTCACAATAGAATCCGGGGAAGAAGCCGACGCGGACGCTGGAGGGTTCTTTCACACCAAAATGTGCGGGCCCCGCCGTATTTTACACGGGAAGCTTCAAAACATTGTGACTTGCTATAAAAATTTTAAATCAAAATTGAGTGTTCAGCATATAAAAATAAATGTATAGGGGTACTTTACTTTTCAAATCCCTCCATTTTCAGAAATGAATGTTAAACATGAAATCGTCAATTTACTTCACTTGATTCATTAAAATAATTTGCAATTAAACTCATGTTCAACACGCAGGAAAGCTAAAGTGACTGATTACTTATGAATATACTTGAAGCCGAACAATATCAAAATCTAACTCTTCACAAATTGTATTTTGGTCAATACTTGGAATGAAAAATCAATTTGAAGAAAGAAATACATGCGGTGCGAATATGAAAGATATACTATGAAATTTTTATAGTGTTTTTTATTTTATTTTATTTCTATTATGGTGAAAAAGGGTGGTGCAATGAAAGTTTGAACCGAAACAACTTTTAAATTGGCTCTGCCAAGACGACGATGATAGAGGCAATGGGCCCTTGTTTGTCTTGCCAAAAGGACGAATGAATTTTTAAAAATTAAATTTATTTTATTTTATTTTGAAAGTACCAAACGGTGCGTATACATGTGAATGTGATGTGAAAATTGAGGTTCTCTTCACTTGCGCCACATCAAATAGGTGAGAAGGATTTTTTGATTTGTCAATCCATTTCCATTTCAAGCGAGCTTTTCTAACTCAAGTTTGTTCTTGACGCAAATGGAAGAGCTCTTGGGCCATTCTTAAGTCTAAAATAGTTGCTCCAATTATTATTATACATGGATAAGGTAGGATCAGGTAGGCTTCATCCCAACGATGCCTTGCCTGATATAGTAGTTCGGGCATCATGCTACTCAAAAGTTCAGTTCAAGTTTAACCAAATTCAAAACTATTTTTAAATATATGAATTTTTTTAATAAACTATAATTAAAATTATTTAAAATGTATTTCTTATAAAACTAATTCTAGAATTAAATTTTTTAAAATTTTATACGCTTAACAATTGTCAATAATTTTTACCTAATATAACCTATTAATTTAGAAAAATCAATATAAATTTTTTTAAAAAGGTTATAAACATTTAAAATCATAAAAAATATCCATAATAATCATGAAAACAATATAAGAATAAAAAAATCAAAGATAAATAATACTACAAAATAATTAATTTTTTCACAAAATTAAAACAAAAGGTAAAAAAAAAAAATATGCATATCTTCGAGTTAGTGGGGCAAATGTCAACTCCCATGCCTGGCCTGGCCACTCGGACTAGTTTAAGTAGAATCAGGCTAATTGAAGTATTTGGCTACACCTACACGAAAAGCCTTGGCCTCAATAGTTAGTAATGAATCTAGACATCCTTATGCCCCCCTCAAAAAATAATTAAAACCATTGAGAATATTGAGGGAGGGTTAATTCTCACATTTTTTACAAACAAAACTTAAAAAAATTACAGAGGAGTAATGAAATTGGGGGTTACACCTGCATTCGTCACTACCAACAGTAATTCCTCATCATCTAGATCAAAGTACGCCTGGAACTTTACCAAAAGAAAAAACGGATGCCATGCGACTTTATTTTATTCTTTGGTTATAAATTAAAAAATATATACCTACAAATCTTCATAATTTGCTTCATTTTTTAATCAGGCCCTTGTAGTTTTATTTGTTGTAATTGGACCCTTACATTTTTTAAGGTTAAGCCCATTAATTCTTCCATCATTAACTCTATTTAAAATCCATCAGCACCGTCAAATCATGACATGATGGAGGACGACCTGGATAGACATCAGGGCCAGGTAATATTATTTTTCTCACATTCATTTTCCTCAATGGTGCGTGCGACTGCTAGTGTCCGATCGACACGATAAAGCTAGCAGCATGTGCTGATGTTCAGGGCCTTTTAAACATCTCCTCTTACTAGCAAGTGTTGCCCATTGACGGAAGGTCTGGTAGATTTGGAGGCTACACTCTACCCCTATACCATCATTAAGGCCAACATCCTTGGCATCAACCGGAACATGCCCTTCAACCTTAGCTGGATCCTTAGCTGTTGTAAAAAATTTTGTTCCTCCTAGTTTCCAATGTCCTTAGAAGAGGGACGTTGAGATCATTAGATCAATCCATCTTGATCTTCCACATGCTTACTTGTCTCCTTCTTTGATCCATACTACAACTAGCAATCTATAATCAGTTTATTCATTAAGAGCCAAGTATTGTGCCACTAAGCTAATGAGTTACAAATCGATTGGAAGGAGGATTCAAAGTACTCACTTATTTGATTTGCTTGCTTGATGCCTTCTCAGCTCCAATCGCACGAAGCTGCTTTCCCTTCTCAACTTACAAAGTTGTTTTCTTCCTCAGTCGCCAGCCTGATCATTCTGTCGTAGTTGCACACACCGACAAGGAAAATGAATCCTGGAGAATGATATTACCTGGCACCAATTTTAATCCATCTCACCTTCCATGATGTCATGATTTAATAGTGTTAATGGATTTAAACGTAGTTAATGATAGAAGGATTAATGGCCTTAACCTTAAAAAAATGTAAGGGCTCAATTTCAACAAATACAATTAGAAGGGTTTGATTAAAAATTGAAGCAAACTATAAGAACAACTAGGTCTTTGTGTTATAATTTTTTTTAATGATTGAGATATATGATCAAACATTAAATCTAGACATATCTATTAGCCTCTTCTGCTAAATTCAATTTTAGTTGGTCAATCATAACTTTTGTTGCTACTTCATGAAAATTTGACCTTTACTTTCTACTCGCTTACCTTTTATCAGATCCCATTATTATTGGATATATAGGATTTGTGTCAACATCAAAATCAATTAACCCTAATAAGTGCCTGTTTGTTTTGCGTCCAGAATCGATTTTTTGGTGTTTAATCGATTTTTAAAGCAAAATTAGCCAAACAGCATATAATTGCCATAATCGATTAAACATCCTAAAATCAATTTTTTTCAAAGCTATTCATGCCTACTTCTGGTTCTTATTTTACCATATTAATTTGTCAATAATTCATAATTGTGTTAAATAAAATTTAACAAATTTAATAATATTATATATAAATTTATCAATAATTAATTTTGTATGATAATTGATTATTGAGCCAAAATTAAATTTTGAACTAAGCTCTGAAAGGTTGCTCATGGATTAATTTTACTATTAAATAATATATTTTACTTCTTAAATAAAGTTTAACAAATTTATTAATATTAAATACAACTTTATTAATAATTTAATTTTAAAAAGAAATGTCTTTTACAGTAATTTGTACAGTTGAGGTTAATTTTAATATCCAAACATATTGTGTCATAATATTATCAATTAAAATTAATTATATTAATTAATTATTTTTATGATCAATTATATTCAATTAAAATTCAATCGGGCACTAATAGCATTGCATGTTATGCATGAAATAATTTCACTGTCTCTTTTATATCTTTTGTAAATATTCTTTAAATTACAGATGCAATCACTGCAAAATTTAAACACAAATGGGGAAAATGTTAATGAAAATAATCAAATACTTTTCTACAAAATTATAAAATCTAGGTGGATATATTGTAAAAATAAAAATAGATTCATAATTAAGTAACACTTCGAAAATGAGTCAATAAAGCGATATGTATTCGTGATCCATTGTACTTCTGGAAGACGCATGGCGGATTGTAAAGCAGCGGACGGAAGCTATTCAACATTTGCACTGTTGTGGTTGAAAGACCGGACATTTGAAAAAGGCATTCAAGTTAGCCAATGTTTGGGTGAACAGGAATAGAAGGGAGGGGATGCATTCGATTTGAAAAAAAAAAAAGAAAGATAAATAAGATTATAAATTATAAAATTTCAGTTAAAAAAAGATTTAAATTCAAAGAGTAAGGAAAATTAAACAAATAGTAACTCCACTTTTCAATTTTAAAACTTATTAGAATCTTTTCTCCACTTCCTTATAACAAAATAGACATTTAGAAAATCCTCATTCAGTACTCATCAAGTTGATGAGCATCGAGAGCTCATCATTAGATAAGTTAATCCTAATCCTTCATTTTAGAATGAATAATCCTTACATTTTATGTTAAATTAATTTTTTGATATTTTTAATATTGTCTATATTAAAATAAAAATTACAATCCAGAGTATATTTAGATGCTTATCAGGGGAATAAAATACCTTAATTCTCATTAACATATAAGATCTCGACTATCCATATTTAATTTTTTTATTTATCAAAATAAGAATTTGAATGTGGAAAAAAAGAATTTATAACAATTATCAATTTTTTAATAAATTTGTCAATCACCAATCAGGACAATACATATTTAATCTAAATAATATAATTTAATATTAAATTTTTGTATAGCTTTGATAAATTGATTATTCAGATATATTTTGAATAATATAAATTTAATTTAGAAGGTCAAATTTAATATTAAAAATTTCTTAAATTTTACTTTAGACAACCTACATGTACTTGAAACAATCTATATGTAATATATAATACAATTAGGCCTACAAATCATAATGTGGACTCTTCTTCTTCTTAAACATAGGTTTGCTGGATTGTAGAAGCTTGGGCTTGGGCTTACTCTTTTCTTTATCATTCCCCTTAAATGAAAGTAGCAAAGCAAAGCTCGAGTTTGTCTTTGAGGTAAATAAAATGAGAAGAGGGCAAGTGTTTGGTAAGAAGATTTGCAACTTGATTAGCAAAAAGAACATGCTTAATAGTGACTTTGTGGTTGAGAACTATATCACGAATAAAATGAGTGTCATTTTAATATGTTTAGTTCAAACATGAAAAATAAGATTTGAAGCAAGAGCTGCAATGCTAACATTATCATACCATATTGTGAAAGGTCTTTTCTATGTTAATTCAAGTTCAAAAAGTAGTAATCTTAACCATAGCAACTTTGCAATAGTGTGAGCTAAGGCTTGATATTCAGACTTAGCACTTGATCTAGCAATAATTGTTTGCTTTTTAAATGACCAAGAAATTAAGGAATCTCCAAAATATACAAAATACCCTCCAACAGATCTTCTTTCATCTGGACAATTAGCCCAATTAGCATTTGAATATGCTACAAAGTCAAGAAAATCTAATCTTTTAATTTGCAGACACAGATGAATGGTACCTTACAAATATTGTAAGAGTCTTTTAATAGTTTGCCATTGCAACACAGTTGGACCATAAAGAAATTGACTTAATTTACTAACAAAGGAAATATCAAGCATGTATTAGCAAGATACTAAAGAGATCTAACAATCTTACGATAAGTAATACTATCAGATTCTACAAGTGGGTTATTGTCAAAACATGACAAAAGATATCCAGAGGAAATTGGATCTTTACAAGAAAAAGTGCTCATATTTTACTTTTCCAACAAATCAAAAATATACTTTCCTTGATTCAAATAAGACCCATTAACATCTTGATTAATTTCTATTTCAAGGAAATAATGGATAGGACCGAAATCCTTCAAAGCAAATACTTCATCCAATTTGAGAATAAATTGATGCATACTCTTTATATTACTTCTTTTGACTAGAATGTCATCAACATAAATGAATATCACCAAGAGTTTATCATTATTTTGAAAAATGGAAGAAAGAAGTGTCATTTTTACTATTATGAAATTTCTAAGCAACTAAGACTGATCTCAATCATTCAAACCAAGCATATGGTTTGTTTTAACCTATAGAGAGCTTTTCTCAATTTACATACATGATAGGGCTTTGTAGAATTAATAAAGCCCTCAGGCTATGCCATATATACTGTCACACAATAGTAGAGCCAAGACTCGAATTTAGGGTTGCAACATAATATAATTTAAAAATTAATAATTTTTTTAAAATAATATAATTATATCAGGAATAAAATTGTAATAATATATGTAGCTTAATCATCATTTTTTTAGAAATATATATTAATAGGTTGATAAGGTCTTTTATGTAAGATATATCTTTCATATCTTATATTTATCATTAAAATATTACATACCTAATAAGCTTTTAAGACAAGATATTTTTATTTAGTCTAAACGGTGCAAAATCTCAAGAATAAGGGGTGCAAAGTGGCAAAATTTACATGTATAACTTGTAAATTTTCCCAAAGAGAGGGGATGTAGTTGCTCACCCTCACTAATGAGTAGCTTTGCCATTGCCATCTCAGCAAGATACCATTTAAGAACGCAGTAGTAATGTCAAGTTGTTTTACTTCCCAATTTCAAGATGCATCTAAAACTAAAATTGTAAGGTCGCCCTTACTGTTGCACATTTAACTCTAAAATCTAGATAATTATGGAGCTAATATAAGAGGATTGCCACGTTTATTAAATCACATAAATGATAGCCCCAGTTTTCAACTGTTTTGAAAAATATATTATATGTTCATAACTTAAAAATCAGAATAAAATATATTTACGAAAATATGGGATTAAATTGTATCAAAGCATTTGCATCTAAACTGAAAAATGACAATTCAGTATAAAGACACAGAGGTACGCCGTGGCATTCCTCCCATGCATTACAGCACAATCTTCTTTGTGCCATGTGCCATGTGCTATGATACATTGCACAATTTTGATAGCATTATTGCTGTCATTTGACACCAATAAGGGTAAACTTCTAATGCGCCTCATTTCTTCATCCGGTATCCAATTGAGGTGCTCTGAGTGTCAATGGAAAGCTCTTTTAGAGAGCTAACTACTAGCACTAGTCTCACTTATAAATCATTTCTCATTAAAAAATTTAGACACTTATTTACAAACTCACTCTTTTTAACTTTTAAATTACAACTATGATGTCCAAAATCACAATTAAGTGCTAAAAGCTTATAATTATCTTTGGATCATACTCAATAAACTTAAGAATACTTGTGCAATACACCACAATGACACACTATCACATACATTATATTTTCAACTCTTAACCCCTTGATCTAAAAAATTTAAGGGGAAGACAATTTCTCATAAATCAACATAAAAACCATCACATCCATGCATTTAGACATTCCCTTACTTGTACTAGTATTTCAGCCCTATATTAACTTGGTAACATGTTATATACCACGGGGCCTAAAATACACACTTAAGTCAAATTAAGTAATAGTACAAGGAGGCCAAATAGTATGATTCTCTAGTTAGCAATTATCAAATCAAAATACACATTATGAATCAAATAGAGGCCTACAGATTGGGAACCAATGTTCTAAGCCTTAGGCGCTTTTCCATTTTCTTGGCTCGAGCTAGTTCCTATAAATATTGAAGAGATAGGGGTGAGTACAACCATTTAGTAACCAAAATTAATCTAACCTATATAAATACTTGTCAATCAATCATAATGATCAAATGGCATCTACACAATTTTAACAAGTTTATGCCTTTTCTTTTAAAATGTTTGCCACAACCACCATATTCACAACCATGTAGCCAGGCACAATATACATCCAAACTCACATCAATAATAATTATCAATTCACAGAAGGGAATACAATACTAACAATTAGGTGCCCCTATCAAGTTATACCAAACCATAATAATAATAATCATATAGAAGTATAATGATATGTATGATCAATGCTATCTTTATATCTTACTAGTACCTCTGACATGAAACCATTAGCTATTTAGTGAGATTTGTCCAGTTAATTGGACTATCCAAGCCCTTCACTTGTGAGGAGCTACTTTTCAAGGTTACTACATTTAGTTATGAGTCACGGTTTCTTCCAATACTAACAACCATGGGGTGTCATATCCTTAAGCCTGCCTTCTTGTAAACAAAAAGATAGTAGTTAGGTTTGAGTCCTTTAATGTAACATCCCAATTTAAATTTTTAATAGTTAATTTTTGGTAAATAGAAATTTAAAAAAAAATATTTAGAGGTAAGCAAATTAGTAGGAGATGATTATTAAATCTAACTTAGGATATAATTCTAAATTAAAATTTAAAAAAAAATTAAAAAAATAAAATTAATTAAAAAAATAATAAAAAAATATTATTAAATTATTATTATAATAAAAAAAGAAAGGGTATTTAAAAAAAAAAGGAAGAAGAAGAAGAAAACGAGTTTTGCTTTCGGCGTTTACGCGTTCCATCATTACATATAATAATAATAAAAAAAAAGAAGAAAGAAAGAAGAGAGAGAAAAGAATAAAAAAAATGTGTGGGACCCACTGAATTTTTATATAAAAACTCACCTGTTTCCTTTCGTTTCTTCATTCTTCGTGTGCGTGAGCTGAGACTGAAAGAGCGTCTAGTTTCACCGGTGCGGGAGATCTGAGTTTTTAAGGTAAGAGTTTTTAATAGGATATTTAGGGTGTGATTTTAAGCTTTTTAAGACTAAGTAAGTGTTCTAAAAATTTTTTCTTAGTCATCCTTCTTCTTTGGTTTCTGAGTTTGTAGTGGTAGAAAATTTAAGATCTGGAAGAGGGATGAATTTATGTTGAATAAATATAATTTTTGAGGTTGTCAGTAATATAATAAATGTTATAGAGTATAAATTTGTTGATGATCTTTAAATTTGTGGCTTATAAATCAAATTCTAAACTAGATCTGAAAATATATGTTATTTATTGAGGTTTAGATGATTATTTGGGATGAAAAATGAATTATTATGGTTATAGGATTATGATTCTAAACTAGAGACTCAATTTTTAATTTTTGGGTATTTTAGGTACGAATTTATGAAATAAAAAGAAAATTTTGATAATAGAAATTAGTTTAGAAGTTGATTTTTAGATTATTAATGTTTATTGATAATTAAAAGAGGAGTTAAAAATTTTACTTAATAGTATTAACTATAGATTTGTATTAAGATTGAGATTAGAAATTATGTTATATTTTTAATTCTATTATTAGAATTATTTTATTAGTTTCAAAAATTGAAACTAATATTTATAAATAATATGTTATTTGTAGATTGTATTACTGGTGAAGATTGTGGTGAGAGAGAAATTTTAAGGAATAATTTATTGAAAAAGCCACAAGGTAACCATGCTTTTAATTTATGATTAGTGTTACTTCATGTTAATTGGGTGATTATTGAGAAAATTATGAATTTTGTAATATTGTATAATTGTGCAATATTATTATGAATTTGTTTAATTATTGTGGGAGGTGTTGGGAGACTTGCTATTATTGTTGTATTTATGTGCCACGTGGTACGCCCCTATTGGAGCTCAATAGATGGCTTGTAAGGGCTCGGGCTAATCTACCTTGGCCGGGTAATTTAGCACCGAGTGAGGGTTACGGCTCGAGGTTAATGGAGGGATATAAGGATGGTTGTTTGTGTATATTGTAATATTTCTTATATTTGTTGGAATTATATTATTTTTAATTCTCACTTAGTAAGCACACACTTAACTGTTTGTATACACTATCATAAATTGGCTTTGGTTACTGGGACTTTTGAGTCTCATTATATGGTTAACAATTTTCAGGAGAAGAGCCACGAGTGACACGTGGAGGAGTCCCAGAGGCTTAGTGGTATAGATCCACTGTCTCTTTTGGGTATTTAATTTATGATTTATAATGTGTTATATTGCCAATATTAGGGCTTTTCGTTTATTATCAATTATATGAATATATAAATGTAATCATGCCTTTCAAACTATTTCTATTTTTGGTATAATTTAGATGACTGTAATTTTAATATTTGGTTTACTTTGGATTGGTTAAAATGGCATGATTATAAGGCCAAATAACTGGCTTGTGTTGAAAATTTAATAAATTGCTTATTTTACTTGTTGGGAGTATAAGGATGGACAAATGTGATTTAGTTTACTTGTTGGGAGTATAAGGATGGACAAATGTGATTTAGCCTAATGGCATGTGGGAGGTAAAAAATTTATCTGAAATATTATAGTGTGTGAGTTGAAGCCAATTATAAAATATTTTATATTGAAATTATTGATATAAAAATGTGTTGGGTGGCTGTAACCCAACTATGGTTGAGTTAAATTATTAAAAAAAAAATTTGGTGTGTTACACTTAATGAACAAGTAGGACGGTTCCTTGAAGAACAAATGGGATAAAAAAAATAAAAAGGCAAGCCATCGAGCTCTAAATAGCAACCATATCATGTGGATTTAAAAACATACTCCTCTCATTAAGTGAATTCCCACCTTAATAATCATGCAATACGCAGATGCTCAATTTATACTATGCATATACTTATACCTAGCATTATTCCCTTTTCACAATCTCAACATTTTTTTTTCAATTTCATTCGCATCACAACATCATCACATCACATTTGTCATGCATGTTCTCATGTTTATGTTCAAACAAGTCATTTATCAACATTTCACAGATAAGATCATATTACCAAGATTTAACTCCATGATTTTTTGCCACATTTGCATTTAGTACATGTTCAAAGAATACTCATATTTTCCAAAATGAATTATAATCATTTATAACTAATTAACAAATAAATGCACAAACTAAATTTTTTTTAATTACCTCAAATATTTGAGAGGTCAAAGATTTTTTTCCTCAAAAATTACTTCCAAAGCTCTCGTCAAGTTTGAATGGTGGTAAAAATGGTTAATCTATAATTTAATCTTTTCAACAATCATTAATGTCATCCATAAGACAATTTTAACTCTCTAGCTCAACACCTTCAATTCCTAAAATCACAATCTCTTACTTTTAAACATACCCATTAAGTTTACTAACTTCCTTTAATTCTCAATGACTTCAATGTATCACCCAACTATCATTAATAACTTTTATACACTCCTAACAATCTTATTAATGATCTATCTTTTACCATTAATGACCTCCACCAACTAAACATTTGTAAAATCATCAATACTAAGTTTATATAACCTAAAAAGCTTCCATTAATTTTATTTAAGTTAATGGGTTCGAAGTCATGGCTTTTATAGATAAAAAATCATCCTATTTAAGCAAATCTTAACTCATACTCTTAAGAAAACTGGAAGATAATGGAAGTAGAAGGCTTAAGAAACTTATTTTTAGTATTTATAAGCTTCAAATTACTCTTAAACCTTCAAATCCTTTGTGCCTTAGCAGAGCTCTCAAGTTCTTTTTATGTTCTCTTTGTTTCCTTTCTAATTTTTGAATTGATTTTTGCTCTTTTTACTGTCAAAATTCAACCATGCGCCACAACACACATGCGACATATGGCATAAAGACACTTTCTTTTTTTTTCTCCCTTCTTGAGATTCGAGTGTCCTAACTCCGCTCTGAACCCAATCCTTGAATTGAAATCATAACCCAAAATATTTATTAGCTCTTTGTAACTACACACAATATTAATTTACTTAAGCAACCTCATTTAACTCAATTAATTAAGGGTTAATTTTCTAGGATGATATAAAAATAACAAGAATTGTTGAAGGCTTGATGATAGGATGGAATACCATATTAATACTTGGAACTTGTAGATATCCTTTAGCAACAAGTCGAGCTTTATGCATTTCGACCATGTTATTTGGATTAGGTTTAGTCTTGAAAACCCAACAACATCCAACTATATTTTGAGAAGGATGAGCAGGAACAAGATCTCAAGCATGATTTCAAACCAAAGCATTATACTCAACTGCTATGGTTGCTCGCTAGTGATTTAAATGAAAAGCTTGTGAAACACTCAATGATTTTGTGCATAGACACTGTAGATTGGCCGCAACAAAGCTAACAAAGGGCTTTTTAGGTTTAATTTGCTATGTTTAGATTGGGTCATCATTAGGTGTGTATTATTAGGCCCAACTAATTCAACAGTAGTAGATGATGGTACAATATTAGTGTGCTTTAAAGATTGAGAAGTAAGAGAACCAAGTGCCTAAGTAGATCCAATAGATGACATTAGGTTGTCTGTGATTGGGCTCATTACTTCTACATAAGAGACTAAGGAAGGATTAGGTAATTGATTAGGCCGATTATCATGATGGTTGTTAAGACTATCCATGGATGACGTCATATGGCTAAGTGAGGAGTCATCACCATCTGGAAACAAAATGGACGTTGAATTTGGATTGAGATGTTTTGCTTCCATATTTGTAGAATATAGTATATTAAAGGATGACCTAGAGACTTGTAGGGATGATGCAGCATTATTAGACTTTCAAGAAGATGAATATCCTATGAAAGAAAAATGATTTTTATTAAATACTACATGGTAATTAATATAGATCCTTCCAGATGGATTGAGACACTTGTACCTTTTATGTAAGGGACTTAGCTTTAAATAAGTGCATTGTTCACTTTTGGATTCAAGTTTATGCTTGTTATATGGATGAAGACATGGAAAGTAGGCACATCTAAAAATTTTAAAGCTACCATAATTTGGCCTTGAACTAAACAGAACCTCAAATGATAACTGGTCCTTTAAAACTAGAGTGGGCAAACGATTAATTAGATAAATTGCATTTATAAAAGCTTCCCACCAATAGTATAATGGCATTGATGCTTAGGCTAGAATGTTTAATCCAACCTTAATAAAGTCTCTATGTTTATGTTCAACTTGTCCAATTTACTTTAATGTATATAGACATAAGTGATGAAAAAGGATTCCTGACTCAAATAAAACTTTTGAAAAGCTTTTAAACTGACCCTTATCACTTTAGAGAGTCTTAATTTTCTTATCAAATTGACTTTTTACTAGCTTTTTAAATTCCACAAAAGCTAAAAGTGCTTCTCCTTTAGAGTGAAGAGGGGAAAGCCATGTAAATCTACTATAATCATCAACAAAACTCACATAATATTTAAATCTAAATTTTGAATTAACAGGTGTAGGGCCCCATTTGTTTGTAAAGATAAGATCCAATGGTGCTTTAGATCAAAAATGAAACAAAGAAAATGGTAACTTATGCATTTTACCATACTGACATGCATCACAAAATTCAATATTGTCATTATCTTTCAAATGAATATTATAGCTTTTCAGTATATTCTGGACAATAGCAAAAGAGGCATGACCTAAACTTCTATGCCAAGTGTTTAAAGAAATACTTAAAGCAATAAGTTTACTACTACTACTTAATTCATAAAGCTAATAAATCTGAAGGGTGCCTTTGACTTTTGTATAATCCTTTACAACGCTTTTCTTTAAACAACACTTTGCCTATTTTCAAGTTAGTTAGAGTAAAATTATATTAACTCATTATCCAAAACGAGCTTAAAAACACTTGCCAGATTTTTCTAAATGGCAGGAACAACCAGAATATCCTTTAACAGCAATATTTTAGTATCACATTGAAAATGTACTAGTAGCATGACCTTTGATGTTTAAACCATCACCATTACCAATAGTAAGAGTACATGAAGATTTAGTACTTAAGGAGCCTGAAATATTACCAGCTTGATTAGTTCCAGGGTTTAAGGCTCCACTATCCATGTACCATGCTGGATCCTATACCGTATCAGACATAGTAAGAAAGGTAGAATGAGAGTTTTGAGTATTGTTATCTTAAGGAGAGATAAAGTTCTTATCAAGATGATGATGACAATCAACACTAATATGCCTAAACTTTTTGCATAACTAACACTGAGCTTTGTTATTATTATTGTTTCAGGTGTTGCGATTATGCCCACAATTGCCTTTGCCACATCCATTACCATGCCAGGGTGGTTGAAAACTTCTTGAATAACCCTTACCAGAACTAACAGAAGAGGGATCACCTTTAAAACTTGATGCAATAAAGGAGTTACTTACATTATTAACACCATAGAGGTGTTCAAGATATTGCTCAAAAGTGAGAAGGGAGGATTGGAGGCCTATCCAAGACAGACCCTCTTTATCTGCAAGATGCACCACTATAAAAGTATAATCTCTATTAAGTCTAGTTAAGGTTTGCATGATAAGATCCAAGAGAGGAATTAAACACCCTGCAAGAGCCATATTATCTAACAGGACCGTCATTTTGCTAAGGTAAAACTCCATTAAAATAGCATTTACAAGTTCCTTAAAACTTATTTTTCATGCAAGTAAGTTTGGCCTTAATGTTGGCACAAGTTAAAACTGTGATAACTCATCATATCTAAGAGGCTAAGTAACAGTGTAATACTTAAGAAGTAATATTTGAGGAAAGGGAACCAAGTAACCAGCCATATATAAGTCAATTAATAAAGTACCAATCTTTAAACTCAGGATGCACCATAACATTCGCACCATCTGGAATAAACTCTGGTAAAAAGGCTTTATCTCGATAACAAAACCTTCAAGTTGATAACCTCTTAACACCAACAAGACAAAGTTATACCAAAGCATATAGTTGGATTTGTCCAACTTGATAGGTCCGACATAATTCAGGCTATTAAGTATTGGAATGGCCTTAGTTTGTACGACAATAGTAGCACCAATATTGGGTATAGTGTTCAAGGAAAAAGGTGAGACAGTAGCAACAAAGGTATGGGAAGATGGAGTTGTGGTGGATGACAAAAACGGAGGCAATGGTGGTGTAAAGCAATAGAGATGTGTTAAAGGTGAAGAAAGGGAAGTTGGAGGTAGAAAGGATTGGGAAAATTGCCATGAAGTTGTATGCTTTGATACCAAGACAAAGTTCTCAGAGTATACGCGTTCACTCTTGCAATGTATGAGGTAATGATTTCATAATGATTTATATAAAGGTTGTTACAACAAACTAGGGCCATGTCATCGTATAGCCTAAAAATAAAGAATAATGAATAAAAAAGAAAGGAAAAACATAACTTTTAATTTGTGTACTTTACTCGTGGTTTGATATAGATCCTTGTACTTTTTTTCTGGTGTTTTAGGTTTCTATGCTTTTATTTTTTAATGTTCTAGGTCCCTAAATGAACAAAATGTAGGGACCTTTGAGGGACTTACAATACCAAAAAATAAAATTATAGGGACTTAAAACACCGAAAAAAATGTAGAGACATATAACAAAACACAAGCAAAATATAAAAATTAAAAGTTATGTTTTCTCAAAAAGAAAATACAAAAAGCAATTAGCAATCTAAAATACAATCGGGCCTCTACAAATCATAGTGTGGACTCTTTCTTCCTAAGCTTGCTGGACTGTAGAAGCTTGGACTTACTCTTTTCTTTATCGCAAACAAATCATATAAAACCAAACACAACCCGTGAGGAAAAAGCTGAGGACAAATATTTTGACTGTGCTTCCAAATAATGAGGGGGACAAAGAGAAATAATAGAGTGAAGTGTTCAATGTAAGTGGACATGATCTCCCTGCCTTTGTCTATATCATTACGATAACTTTCCCCATTCCATGGAAATAATCATGATTACAGGGAAAAATGTATGAAAGAATTACAACTAAGTTTCTTACAAAAAAAAAATTTAATTACCGTAAGATTCATAAAAAAATTAATTACAAATTAATTATTATAAAGTTCATATAATATGAATCTTGTAGTAATTAATTTATTTTTATAGGGGACTTTAATGTAATTGTTCCAAAATGCGTTATGAACTAAACCATGCAGAGTAAAAGCGACCAAAAAAGGCGGAGCAGCCTTATGGGAACAAGCTGACATAAGAGACGTGACGTCATCGCAGATGAACATGACCACATAGGAATAACGACAAAGGTGATGAAGTGGCGGGTGTCCTATTTGGAGGCGAAGTTATCAACAGCGAGAATAAGATATGGAATTAGTGAATAGAAATGGGACCTATAAATGAAGGGTTTGGGGGATAGGGCGCACACAGAGAGAGAGAGAGAGAGAGAGAGAGAGAGAGAGAGTTACATACTAGACAGCATCAGCATGAGAGGTTTGCTATGCAGGAGAGATGACGCCGTTGATTCTGACCATTTTAGCATCGTCACCACCATGTTGGTGGCTCTATGCTGATGGCATCCTTTCTCCTGCCTGACAAACCTTCCTCCTGCAGTCGCTCAAGGAATCGATCGCTAACACACAGGGCCACCTCTTTGCTTTCCACTCTCCCTTTTCTCCTCCTTTCTGTATCCGCATTTTTTTTGGGCCCAAATGTATCTGCATATTCACTGTCCTACTCCTTTTTGCAGGCACTAGCTAACGTCCAATTGAAGAATATTTCCCATCAAGTTATTGAGAGCATATCATTTTAAAATCCATCAATTGTTTTATGGCAGTCTTTTGCCCTCATATTCTATACCGATGATCACCGCTGAAATTCTTGTTGCTTGTAATCAATCATGCTGTGCTTTGCATGGTTCTGAAGCGTCTACCTTGATCTTTCTTTACCCCTTCCTGCCTTCACCTTTCTTATGAAACTTTTTGACTTGCCTATCTCCGATGTTCTGAGAGTATGAGGAACCTGTGTCTCCCAGGGAATCGGCTCCTGTGTCTAAGACACATGTGGCTCACAATTCAAGGCTTGCATCCACAACCCCACAGCGACAACTGTCCACTTTACTAGGAAACAGGGGTACACTAGAGCAAAGATTTCCCAATTCAGAGAGAGATGAGAACTAACCCAAAAAAGGGTAAATATTCGCATGTAGAAGAGGATGCCTAAACAGAGTCTAGTTCTAGTCGAGGATTGCCTTGCTTCCTTTTCGCAACGCAAAATTCTTGTAACCTTGTCAAATTGATTAGTCATATACAGAATACAAAGGCTCGAAATATGAACATTTCATTGATTTCTCATATGATAGCGACTCCAATTGATTTGTTTCACGACATAACTTAACTCTGCTCGAACAGGAGGGTGGACCACAAACAAGCAGTAATCAAAACAAATCAGACATCTCTTCATTCTACATAATCCAAGACTCAGGAGTCAGGACGACGAGTTTTTTATAAATAAAAGTTGGGGATGATAATCTTTGAAATCCAGGTCCTAGGCAAGAAAATCTTGCAAACGCAGCCAATATGCCAAGGGGAAATTAATCAGGCTACTGGGATAAAGCGCCATACCTCATCCATCTCGCAGCTTGACATGGGTGCTAAAAACGACCACCAATTACACCTAAAAAAGGGCCTTTTTATTAAGAATTTCCTGGGATAACATCTAACATGCTGGCACTATCATCTACTGTTACATAAATCTGGATGGAAATCATCATCAACTAGGCAGAAAATAAGGTGGGTGCCATAATATTTTTCAATATGTTAGCCGTTTATATATTTATTTACTTGAAAACATTGATTGCGCAGGTCTCAGTAGAAAATCATAAGCATTCACCGAGAGATGGACAAAAGAAAACGAAATCCTTCAAGAATGATTCAAGGTTAATTGCCAGCATCTATATCAGATATTGAAACTCTGTGAACGAGATGTTCATCAACTTCGTGAACTCAAAGGATCAAACTAGATGGGGTAGAATACAAACTAATCTTCAAAAATAACTACTGCTTCGTTGAATAAATAATGAGGATTGGAGCAGAGCAGAATGTATCTTCACTTATCTCGGCTTGAAACCTGAGATAATCAATAATGTGAGACTTGCGGCACATGTGGTGAAGAATAGCAGTAGCATCCTGGGTTATGGCAGTAGGAAATGCAATTCTTAATTGCCACTCCACATAAAACCGAAGTTGACTTCTTCTTCTTCTTCTTATTTTTTTTTTTTTTTTTAATACAAAACGAAGCCCAAAACCTGCTTATCGTACACAAACAGTAGTTGAGGTAAAGTCCAAGGCTAACACACGAGCAAGATCCTCTGGCACCTGAGTCACATAAACCGAAGTTGACTTCTGATATGAATATATATTCATAAATCATGACTAAGAAGTAAAACAAAAGAAAAATGGCTGACCAAAAGTGACCTACATAACCAAATCCCTTGAGATTTAAGTTTACCTTCATGTAGTGCAATTAGAAAGACTCAGGAGAAGAGAGAGAGAAACCAGCAGCGGGGTGAGATTCAGGGTATACCTAGAAAACTATTACAATTCTTCATCAATGTCAAGTTGTGCTCTCGCTGCAGCCCTTTCAGCTTCTTCCAAAACAAAGGTTTTTAATGATTCAACGTCCCTTGGACCTGAGCATTACATGACATGCAAAAATTATTTTAAAATGCGAGGGGAGGAGGGCGGGAGGGAATAGCCTATATGGATATCCAACAATCAAATCAAAATAAAACTCAAGAAAGCATAGGCCAAATATGACAATGAAATACATAGATTTTCAGGTTGATGATTTAATACAAATTATTAACACACTATTCAAGTCAACGACCGGTTGATGCTAAACTACATGTGACTTGATTAATTTTCAAACCCAGTAACAAAATTTTACTGGGAATAAGTTGAGTTTCAGTATTATTCATGATCCTTAGTAATAGACCAACTCTAAAATGGAAAATTCTAACGTGACGATATATCTTTGGCTACAATCAAATTTATCCGATCATCGTCTTCTTAACCACAAGTTTGGAGCATATGGATCAAATTGACAAACACTAAAAGTGAGAATCAAGTGGAATCTATGAAACACATCTTTAGCACAATGGAAAGATTTTACTTACCACGGTATCTGGCAACTTCTTCTCCATTATAAAAAAGCTTAAAAGTGGGATATGAATGAATATCAACTTTGCCACATACTGGTTTGTTTATGCTGCAATCTACTTCTCCAATCTCTATTTCATCTTCTCCTTCCATCGCTTTTCCCAACTCATCCCACAACGATCCGAGATTCTTACTGACAATAAGTGTTCATTACAGGAGAGCAAGCAGTTGAAAATCCAGTCAAGTTTATCGCAAGGTAGAAGAAAGAAATTTACCAGTGCTTGCACCAGGGAACGCAGAATTTCACAAACCACGCAGTGTGTTGCTCCTTGATCTAAACGAAACAGTCAAACGCAAAACAAAGGTGATTGGAAAATGCAACCGCAACACTAACAGGTGACGTGCAATTCGATAACAGTTTCATGAATACCCTCAAGCGCGCACACCCGTGTTCTACAATTTTTCCCAACCCAATCTGCACTTGCAGAGGCAATCATCAACCGGCGGCAACTGTATGGGTTTCCCTCATAAGTCCATTTAAACTACATTTGGATGTGCTTTTGTCAAATCCAACAAATGGTTGGATCTCCCAAGTGGAGGATTTATACTGAAAACCAAACATGCACTAAAACATTGTTTCCAATAATTTAGGGTAAAAAAATGTTCCCATGTGATTGCCACAGATAAATGAATTGCACAGGTCCGTAAATGTCTATCGATTATAAACGATATATAACAATTCTAGTGGAATTAAGCAGAATTTCTTTCCAAAAAAAAAAACAAAGAAGATTTTTCATTCAATCAAGTTTGAGGGTAACGGGCGAGAAAGACTGAGCGACGGTTCTGCTTCGAGAGTATATACCTTATCAGAGAATGTGTCGGCCGTTAACGGGATAACCTCGGGTTGAGCATGAAAAGCTAGATTGACGAGAAGGAGGAGGAGAAGAAAGGAAGAACCGTGATTTCTCATGCCTGATCCGCGGTGCCTGGTGGTGCCGACAGCCGAGATTTCTCACCCTGAAAAGCACCGAGGGCTACTTCGGAGAGTCTTGTCAAAGACACGTGGGTTGCACGTGTTAAATTGTTGACGCAACAAAGCAAAGCTAGCTCCTAAATATTTTCAAAAAATAATAATAAAATATTTTTAAAATATTTAGATAATAATTTAATCTTTTAATCATATTTTTAAAAAAATTTTTAAATTTTTTATTAATAATAAATTTATATAAATTATTAAATTATTTTTATTAAAATAAATAATTCATAAGTTTTGTTTAAATATTTATAACTTTTTTTTTATATTTACAACAATATAATAGTAAATCATAAATTTACATGTTAATTTTTTATTTATTATTAGATTATTCTGAATATAAAAAAATTTATGATTATTTAAATAAAACTTGTAAATTATTTATTTTTAATAAAAATATTTTAATAATTTATATAAATTAATCAATGATAGAAAATTTTTTAAAAATTTTATAAAATTATTATATTTTGAGAGGTCGAATTAATATTTATATATTTTAAAAAATTTTTATTATTATTATTTTTTAAGATCTCATGGACATACATACATAAATATATGTATTTAACGCTCCCTCAAGCAGCTCGGTGACATTGGGGAGAGTATCCTACTGATAAGGTTCACCTGTTCTCATTTTTATTTAGGATTCAGATTTACAGAGACACAAATAACGACGAATGTGGTTGGAGCATCACATGTTTAATCATCTTCGGCACAATTTTTCTGCTACGCTCCAACTTGAAGGAATGTAAAGGACTGGACAATAGGATCCTTGAACTATATAGCAATTAGAAAGAATTATTTTCTTGATCAATGAGAAAATGACCTGAATGTTTTTTTTTTCTTAATAAAAAATGGTTTCAAGACATCTGCAATCACGAAGATACGAGGGGTTGGCATTACAGCAAAAAAGACTAATCTCTCACGGTATAATAAATCAAAATTTGAATTAAGATATAAATATTATTTATGGTGATATTGTAGTCTTTTTTCCTTTTCCCCAATTTTATTGTTGGGTTCATATTTCATATACAAGAATGATTCAGGCATTACCATTTGTCAAGCATCTTGCTGAGTTCTCTCTGTTTTCCGGAAGAAGTGCCCCAACTTTTCATTTGCCTGAAATATTACACAAATTTGTTTAGGACATAAGTTTTGGTGATACTGTCATGCAAACAGTACATGCCTTCATTTTTTATAATAGTATGATTGCCAACAAAGCAAGTAACATCCAACCCTCGAATCATGATAAAGTTAAAGCAAAATGATACCCATCAAATATTGATAGCTTGATAAACAACAACAACTTTGCAACCTAAGGAGGGCTCATTCATGATGATCAAGAAAATTAAATTTAGAGATTATCTAAATACTTTGGTTACCATTTTAGTACCGTAATAGAATTTATAAGTATTTATGAAGGATTTAACCCTTGTTGGAATAAAAATTTTACTAAAATTAATGTCTGCCTTGATTCAATTGAAACTCTCATGTTCATTTAATGTGATTATAACTAGAATCACCCTCTCTCTCGTATTATAAATAGAATCAAATATTTAGTTATGACAAACTAAATTGTTACTTCTGATCATGTTTTTAAATAAACGAATAAATGTGTTGATTGGCTTGTTCGTCATATATCTTATGACAATTCAGATACTACATTTTTGTAAATCTACCCATAAAGTGAAGAAGTATTATTTGCTTTGACATGAACTAAATATTTCTTTGCACAATTTCTTTTTCGTGATCTTGTATTAAAAAAAACTTTTAACAATAACAAAAATAAATTAAATTAGAAAGAGAACATTTATGTTAATAATTTTTTTTAAAAGTTATCATGGAAAAAAGTCAAAATAATACATTACTTTTGTTACAAATTATAAGACACTGTTGGAAGAAATTTAACGTTTAAAATATAAGACACTTTAATAAAAATAAAATTTAATTAATAATATTTTTTTAATATAGTTTCTGTCATATTCTCTCACTTTGATATTTGTTAAGTATTACCTTTGAACATTTTTTAAAAAATATATATTTTTGTTTAAAAAAATATAATTCTAGGTCTTTATACTTTGTTCAACTTTTGTTATAGGTTTTATATTTTTTTCAGTATTTTATGTCCCAATAATACTGTTCATTTAATAATTATAGGAACCTAGAATATCGAAAAAAATACATAGATCTATAACAAAACTCAAATAAAGAATAAGGACCCAAAGTTATGTTTCATCTTAAAAAAATAAAATTATAAAATGTATTTGATAAGTTTTATTAATATATATATAATTTTAGTTAAAAATATTTTATAAAAATTATAAAATGTATTTGATAAGTTTTATTAATATATATAATTTTAGTTGAAAATATTTTATAATTTAAAATGGAGAAATACTAGGCTTACCAACAAAGTGAGAGGGAGGATGGAGGAAGTTATAAATTCTCCTTTCATGCAAGAACTTGATTCAATTTCACTGCTCAAAATATTAAAAACTTATCACTTTTAGACTGGTCTAAAATTTAATCTGAATGGTTTATATTCAAATTTTTTTAATTGGTGTTTCTTAAATAATTTTTTTTGGCAAAACTAACGTTATCTTTATTTTAAATTTTATATCTATTAAAATACTTTTTTTTAAAAAAATCAAAGTAAAAAACTGTAAATCTAATTTTGAACGGTCCAAAGGCCGCATGATAAACACTGAAACTGATTGTTAATAACTAGGAGAGTAGATAACTACTATATTTAGTTTTGAGGAGAACCATGACGAGGAAGCCACGTCAATGAACAGAGATGAAAATTTTATTGACGGCGAAGGAAAATTCGTAAACAGAAACTGAACAAAGAAAGGAAATCCCAAACATAAAAATAAAACGGACAACGCGACTTAGCTTCTAGCCAGCAAAATAATTTATTCTCGCTAATCCCACTCTGTTTTTCCTAATTATCATAATCTAATCAGAGCTCAAAGTCATATCTTAAAGCTATAAATAAACTCAACGCAGCATCTGTCTCTGCCTCCCTGGTTCTTCCCTTCGATCCTCTTCTTCCCCGCGTCTTACGTCTACGTCTCCAGGTGACGCCCCTTCAGCTGGTAGGATTACAGACTCTCCCTGAGCTTTCACCACGCGCCGCATCCTGTCCTCACTTACGCCAAACGATGCTGCAAGCTCAGGTCCCAACAAGGTGTGGAGAAGCGACGATCCTCCCGCCAGAAACTGAGGCCTGTTCTTCCTCGCCGATGTCGTGAACCCGACAAACTCGAATGATCCAGATCTGGATGCGATTTGACAGAATGGGAAGTATCTCGGTACGACGAACACATCCCCTTCTCTGACGTGGGCACTCATCGCTGCAGTTCCGTTTGGAAACACCACATGAATCTTTCCGGTTCCGTACAAAATGATGCCGTACTCTGTTGCCCTTGGATTCACATGCGGTGCCATCATGGATCCCTGCCATATTAATGGAGAAGAATTGAAACATTGCCGGAAATTTTGGATTTGGAAAAAAGTAGTAGTCATTTTTTGTAGAGACACAAATTGTGTATACAGCGTAAGTCTCACAAATCGCTCCGAAATCCTAGTCCAAAGGGTCAAAATTGAGTTAGTTTGCTTACGGCGGTGAGATTGACGAGATAAACGCCGATGCCGGAGCGTCTGAGTGGGGAATAACTGGAGCCGTCCAAAGCAACGCTCCAACCGAATCTATTTCTGAAATCGGGTTTGCTGTCGTAGAGGTTGTAGGAGTCGGGAGATTTAGCGAAATATCTCTTCTCTCTTTCCTTGTTCTCACATCCAAAGACAAATTTCACGAGTTTCCTCCATGACCAATCTGTTTGCTCTGCCTCCTCCTCCTTTTCTTCATCATCACCGGATTCTGCTTGCTCGTCCACCATTTTCTTGAGGTGTTCTAGTCTGTCGTGCTCTTTCAGTTGAAGGAACTTCGTCCACAGGCTTGGGGCGTGAGAGTCATCCACAAACACGATTGGCCCTTCGTGTTGCCCCTTGAGGATTTGCCTTAGCTCAAGGCCTGATGTCTGTATGATAAACAAAATCGTTAAGTGTACCGTGCCGACGATGGAAGTTTGCTATTTTTCTTCTCTGCTGCTGCAGAGTTAAACTTGCAGCTTACGTTTAAAGCGGCTCTTAGGACTTCAGGTCCGAACCCAGAAAGAACTGATGGTGGGCAGGCTCCTCCTCCTCCGATGTAGAAAGACTGCGTACAAACTAGGAAAATCAGTCTTCAAAGGAAATGAAATAATAGCACTACAATGTCAGTTGATTTTGAAAAACGGATGTTTGTAACACAATGCATGTACCTGGAAAACGCCTATTCCCAAGCTCTCAGAGGGGTCAATGCTACAGATAATATGAAGTCTCTGGCCTCGCCCTGTGTTCACCAAGTAGAATACAGAACCAGCTGAGATTCTATACACATCCCCAGTTTTCAAACGCCTCTCTGCCAGTTTATCTTTGTAGATGAATCCCAACTTTGCCTCCCCTGCAATTAACTGATGTCTCAAGACAAACAGAAACTGACAACCAGGAACACGAGAGAGAACCAGAGATTGTAATACCTCTGCGAATGAAAAGGATCAAGCTAGAGTCGAGGTACTGAGGAATGAACAGGGACTTTGGTTCCATGTTGATGAAGCCAATGTGCATAGGCTTGTCCACAATCCTACCGCCATAGCTTTCCGTAACTTTCATTTCGCCTGCATCAGTCTTGATTACTTGCTTCGAGCGTCGTAACAAGAACCAGTCACTTGACTCTGCAGGCAACCATTTCCCTTCTCTCTCTTGCTTCTCGCTACTCCAATCTTCATCTTCAGCGAAACTCGTACCCTTTGCCAATGCATGGCAAAGAACAAGAAGAAAGACCAAAAGGGTAGCTCTGTTTAACATAGTTTCTTCTCTTCTTTCTCTCCTGCGCGCGGGAATTGAGCGATGGGGAAGTAATGGTGGATTGAGGGGTTTATAGAGAGAGGAGGAGCAGAATGCGAGAAGATACGTGGCGCGCATGTAGAAGCGGGGGGTTTTTGCTGGCGATTCTTGGTGTAGACACAGGTGAAATGAAAGGCTTGAGCTGGACGTAGGCTGTCACGTGCATCAAAACATTTCCTTCAAAACACCCTTCTGGGCCATATTTCCATTAAATATATATATATATATATATATGAGTGCATTTGTCTGCTGATTAAGTACGTGTTTGAATTAAAAATTTCGTAATGAAGATCAGAATCATCTGAAATTAGCAAATTAAAGTTAGGCAAAAAATTTGTGACTTTAACATAATTAATTTATGCTTGTATATATTTTTTAAAATTCAATTGAATAAATTAAAATTTATTTAAATGATTTAATTTAAAAGAAATTAATATGTATAATGACAATAATAAACACAAACTTTCTTATAAATGTTTTTCTGACTAATTTGATGTTTTTTAAAAAAATATCAAACTTTAAATTACAGCTTTTTAAAAAAAATAGAATAAGAAATATAAAATAAATTGATAAACTTAAAAATCTCAATTTTTTCAAAATAGAATGAAATGATTTATAAAATATTCCATTAAAAATAAAATAAATTAATAAATTAGAACGCACTTTGTATTATGTATAACATTTGAAGAATTAAAAATAGAGATTAAATAAAAAATAGGAACAAAAAAAATATGAGGGGTGGGAGATAAGAACTTATGCCTGTTACAAATGCCCCTCCCTTTTATATATATATATATATATATACTTCCTCCGTTAAAAAATGTGAGGCATTTTTAATTAAGTTTCACCTTTCAATTAAATAGTTACTTACTTTTAAACTAATACTATCTTTTTATATTTACCCCTATTAAATACCCTACAATAAATATAAAGTTATTCATCAATAGAGGTACTTTTAAAAAAATAATTACACTTTAAAAGACTAAAAACGTCTTACATTTTTAAATATCCAACTTTTTAAAAAATATTTTATATTTTTGAACGGAAGGAGTATATATTTGGGTCTTCCCCTCCCTTTTATTATTATTCTTTCACATTCTTTGTTATTGATGTTTGCCCCCTTTGTCTTAGGATTTAAATTTAGTGACTATACTTAATATAAATATTGAATGTATGTATTATCTAAACTATTAAAATACAGATCAATAGTTTTAAAATCATACTTCATTTAAAATTAATGAATAAATGACTTTATTTAAACTGTTGATATAAATTTCAATAGTTCAAATGATACAGATACTTAATATTTATAGTCACCAAATCTAAATCTCTCTCTCTCAAATCAGGCTAATGTTCTCTCAATGGGTGTTGAAAAGCTCCATGGATTAGCTTTAGTTGAAACAAGCATTTATCCTAGGGGCTCTTGTTAACCTATTTTTTTTATCCAAATAAGATTTTTAATTTTGCAATGTACTTTTAACATTTTAAATAAGGTTTAGGTCGTGCCATCCAACCCTCAGTTGGTATCTAATCCAAACATACCCTAAATAATGTGCTGGATAATAAATTTTAACTATTAAAATGCATTTTATTTTTATTGTTTTAATTTCTTTAGTGATTTTAATGTAATATCGAAAATATCTCTCAAATGAATAATAGACAAATGAACTATTTTAATGTAAAATTGAAAATATCCCTCAAATGAATAATAGACAAATGAACTACTTTTAATTGAACAAAATTTTAAATAAAAAATTTAAAATTCAATTCAAAAAATTTAAAAATAGAGAGATAAGACGACAACAAGGACAACGGATGTGGTGGTACGGTTCGTGAAAGGTTAAATTAACAGCAAGGTCCTATTGGTTATGAAGTGTAAATTTTATAGCTTATATAGCCTCGTATAAGGTTTAATAAACATGTATGCGTGATTTAGTTTCGAACAATTCTGTTTTCTTGCCAGACTTCTGAGAAATCTGGATGGAAGAAGTCTAAGAAATAAAAGTATGTTATTCATAACTAATCAGTATACTAAATAACGCAGCTACTATTACATTACATACACACATGTAAGCATGCATATTGATCATATGCGACCACCACTTTTTCAACCATGCATGTCGAGAGATATATATGTATATATGTATATTGCGGTTAAATATTTAAAACTATTTTTCCCCCCTTGGAAAAAGTCTCATTTTCGGCATTTATAAAGTAGATGGCAAAACGAAATTCAATTACATTGTGAAATAATTTATAATGATATGAATGAGGGAACTACAACTCAGCAGTCAAGAAAAGAAAAGAAAACTTCTTGTACCCTATTTTGAGATGCTTGTCCTCCAGAATCCGTTTGAATTTAAAGAGAACAAGTCCACCGAAGTGCATGCTATGGGAACAAAAAAAGCAGGTGGTATTTTATTTCTTTTGAGCAATCTCACCTTACCATTGGAAGGTGGTAAATGATGACGAGAGACGATACTGAACCTTAATTGGTTAATGTATCACTTTGAATTAAAAAAAGGAGGAGGAGGAGGTATGTTTTTTCAACAATTTTATACATAGCAGGGGCCGTGGATCGAAGCAGGTATGAATGCGTGTCAAGACGAAAGTGAAATAATTATACGATATAATTATAGGTTTTCCTCTATCAGAACAAAACGTACTTGAGCAGACAACTCCGCGCAACATACAGATGAGAAAATGCAGGCCTCTACAAAAATTTTCCCCATCAACTCTCTCCATTCTCTAACACCCAATGCATTATGCAAGTCTAGTCACCTGGTTTCGCGATGCAATAACATCTTTTTTTATTCTGTTCTTTCTTATTTTCAAGAAAGGAATGAATGGCAAAAGCGGCTTAAAAGAACTCCACTGTGCTGGTTATAGTGACGGGAGGATTCAAGTCAACACGATTTGCTTTGCCCTGCTCATGCAACTCTGGCAATGTGTTAGCTTCTTTGGCGGAAACCCCATCGGCAGTCCATAAGGTGACATGAGGCCAGGCGTTTTTGGAAACTATCTTTTCACCTTCCAATGAGCCAGGACAAGCTTCAAATGCAGCCATTTCGTCCGAGAAGAGCAGAGCTTTCAACTCCACTGGCACCTGCTCATGCAAGATCGCGCCATAATCCGCAACAGCTTTCACACCATGACTTCTCTTGTGGGCAAGAGTGACGTGGGCTTTCTGCAGATTCTCTAAATGCTTCCCTTTAAGAAAAGCTTCAACTGACGCATTATTTGAAGCTATCTGCATATGTAAATAGATTAGACAAAGGTCCTGATTTCTATATCATTATGATTCTTCAAGGAAAATATCCAGAGATTGAATTCAGAGCGAATGCTGGGGTGAGAATTGTGGCAGGAGGGAAACTATGAAGCCGGTTGGTCATTGGAAAGAATGAAAATGGAACTGGTTAAGAAACTAAAAATAAAAATGTACTAATTTACCCTTCCCCTCATGGGCAAGTATGACAAAACCCAATATCACAAACCATAAATGTGGAAATCACCATATCCTTCACAAATCTCATGAATTATGACTTCCAACCTAAGGAATTAAATTACCCTCTCCCTCATGAACATGGTTGATCTATCTTTCCTTCACATTTTGATCATTTTATTTTTGTCTTTATTTTTTTAATCCATTCCATTCTCATCATTTCCAACAACCAAACAACCCCTATGTATTGCACTGAAAGAAGGTGCAGACAAGAAAAAAGAAAAATAACGAGGGAAGGGGCAAGGGAATAAATGGATATGTGGCCCCAAAATTTTTTGTTGTTGGCTCTTGTATGCATAGGTATTTCTACATGAGATCTTCCAAATGTGAGTTTCTACTTAGCCAACCCTCATCTGAATTTTTTTTAAAAAAGGAATACTATAGTTGCAAACATACATAAAAATAATGCTCCAATGACTCATTTCTTTCTCAGGATTTGGAACTCAAAACAAATGATCCAATTCAGGTCCAGAAGATGAAAAAATATATATCCAATCAAGAAGCACCGACATAGCTACTACCTCAAATGGAAAACACGTGGCCTAACTTGAAAAAAAAAAATTGTCCTGAGCATGGAATTTTTACTTCTGAGTGCCCTTTCATACATAACGGAAGGGTAGGAAATAAAAATAAAGAATGCTGAGTTGCTGATTAAAAAAAAAAAAAATCCAATCAACATGCTGGGAAAAAGAATCAAAGGCAACCCAAAGAGCAGAAACTTTACTTACATTCTCAAGGACACCTTGAATTTCTGTAACAGGCAGACTGAGCGCAGCAAAAACAATGGTTCCAAATTTCCTCTTCTCAGTTTCTGGTGGCGTATAATCACCCTTTGCAATGTTCCTTAATTGTTCTGAGACTTGCTTGACAGCAAGCTCAAATGGAACCTGCAGATGTTGAGGGCAAACGATAGCATTTTAGAATACAATCTTTTTAATCTTAACTTAAGAAAATATTAGCAAGATGTGAATGCAAAATTTCAATTGAAGTGGAAAAGACGACGACCACGAAGATATACTAACCTGAATTGAATTAAGATATTCGGCATTTCCAAAAAGAATCTCACGTAATTGTTTCTCCCACATGGTCCATTCCTTGGCATAGGATCCCTTGGTAGACTCTAATCTGTTACAATAGAGATCAATTTATGATTGTTGTATTCTCAACTCTAAACCCAAAATCTTAGTGTCTAAAGTAGCTTAACCCATAGCCATCTATCAATAATCAATTAGTAAAATAAATGATATTGAAAGACACAACCCATGCTTCAATTATATGACAGGACAGAAAACGTTCAGCGCACTGTAGCCCAAGGTACTTTGAAGAATCATGGGAGAAAACAGCCTCATGTATTAACACTTAAACCGAACACTTAACAGAGAAGATCTCAAAACTCTCTTTTAGGCCCCCTTTTGCCTGAATTATCTCAAGACTGTTTTTTGGGGAGCTCTTGATTGTTCGACCAGTGACAGAGGAATAAATGTGAGACTAAGGTTTTCATTTAAAAATACAAGCAGAAAATAATTTCTTTGCCACAGCTCAGCTAAAATTACAACATGCTGATATGCAGTGACATCCTCATCGTATGAAGAAAGCAGAATATAAGGCAAAGCAATGTCTTCCTCTGACATTCTGTTCTCTTCGCGCTAAAGACAAGTCAAGAATTATTTTAGTGCTTACAGCTGAAATAATAACATTTGTAGAAAGTAACTATTAATTACCGGTCTAGAATAAATACAAACAGAATGGTGCATTAATGTATGTATTTATTCTAAAGCTAACACAGTCACATCGTAATATTTGTTAAATAAAGATCAAAAGCATTCACAAATGCTCCATTCCCAAATGCAAGTAAAAAACCCATAACATCGACCTGCCATGTCTCTTGGTGTGAAGCTTATACAGATTTATGCCCTCTTCCAAAATGGACTGCACTGGCTGAGGAAGGGGATTCCTGCATATCAGGAAACACATAACAAATGAAGTAATTCTGATGAGAAGGATGCATGGAATCACCTATTTCAGATGTTAAACAGAGTTCTTCATTTATAATGAAACTTAGATCCAGGTCTGGGTATGGAGATGTAATTACACAGAAAGACTTTAATATGAAAAAATAAGGCAGCTCTGCAAGAAACTGGAAAGACAGACAAAGATAGTCATTGCAATATAACATATACTTGAAATTTCGTAGTTCAAGCGATAAGCATTCCTGAAAAATTTTACAATGCTACCGATACACAATAATCATTATACCACCCAAGCCAATTTTAATAGTATGTATATCCCCGTCATCTTTCTCATGTAAGTGTGGACCAAGGTAGCCAGCTGATGAGTCCCACTCCACTGTGGCCACCAAAGATTATAGAAGTTGAGATAGGGAGTGCCAGGGGGCAGAAAATCAGGGGACTATTGGTATAGAAGAAAGCACAGAGGTTAAAAATCAGATAAGATAGAAAGTAGAGGAGCAAAAGAAGAGAGTAATGATGAAGGGCAAGTGAAAGCAATTAAAAAGTATAAAGATGTTAGCTAAGAAAGATGAAGCAGAGAACTTTGGTCAAATTTTTGAAGGAGAGAGCCAACCTCTTGAAAGCTGGGAAAACTTTAAGGTTTGACGTTCTAGTCCTGCTAGGCTATGCTGGAAGTGTGTGTTTATTTAGTAAGCACTGAAGTCTCTCAGTGCCTCCTGTTTGTTAGTGTTTTGAAACTGTAATCTGTGTTCTCTCTCAATCAGTGTTGCTTTTAGCATTTGTGTGGTTTCATATTCTGTAGCAGAGATATAATCATTCTGAGTTTTGTTGATGTGTTTCTGGGTGTCATAGGGATGCTGGGTTGGATCTTACAAGTTGATATATTGTCAAAAAGTGTTCAATGAATTAGCGAAACTCAAGTTCCTCAGTTGGCTTAACTTTCAAAACTCAAGTTCCCCAGTTGGCGTAAATATCAAAAATCAAGTTCTCCAATTGACTTAAATTTTCTGTACTGATTTCTGTATTGCTTTGAGTTTTCCATCGGAGAACTTCACTGGTTTCTAATAGACAATAGTAGCCCTTTCCTAAAGACATTTGAAGAAATGAGGTCCAGCTCCAATAGCATAGTCAAAAGCCTATAGGATCCCTTGAAACTAGCTATTTAGGAAGGTATAGCCTCCAAACTTATAGCCCCACTTAGGTATTTCATATTACCCAATGTGACACTCTATTGGACCCTACAGTGAAGACACCTTTTATAACTAAGGACCAACATTTTCTGTCCTCGCCTAAACCTACTTCTTAACTCTAAATGTATCAAAACTTCTGGGTTGGAAGAAGTAATAATAATTCACAAGGGTTGAATGGAAGACAAATATATATTGAAAGAATAAGGTAGAGCAAACAATTTGAGGCTGTGGAACTACTACGAGAACATTAAATAACAAAAATATTGTTTTCAAAAAGAAAGTACTGCAGGAAAGATAGATATTGATACAAAGGTAGGAGAATCATACTCTGCTAAACATATAACACCAAAATGCAGAAGGGGGGGGGGAGGAAAATGAATCATGATGAACTGAGTACAAAGAGTATTGATACTAGCTATAGAATGGAAGCACCTGTCTGATTTTAACAAAGGCATCTTAACAAGTGAGCCGAAACGCTCAATTAATTCGCCCTCAAATTCTCTACGATCCTGAAAAGCATCAATGCATAAATTATAAAAAACAATTTTCTTTTACTATTATTTTACCAAGAAATTTTTTAGGGGTGTGCGCAATTGATTTAAATTTTTTAATTATCCTGTACATTTCCATGAGTTAACAAAAATAGCTCAAAAATTTGAATTTTATCACCTACAAAATCAAATGCAATAATGCCGTACCTTGCCTTCATAAAGATGATAAAACATGAGCAGCACGTATCCAGCATTTGGAGATTCTTTGTCAAGACTTCCCTTAAATAATTTGAAGAAAACAAAAAGATTTACAAAGGTACCAATGATTTTGAAGAATAGGAATAAAATGTATATCCAGAAAGGCACCAAAACATACTGGATGGTTAACTCGTTGAAGCACTCGAAACATGAAAACAGCCAATGCATCAAGGGAGTAAGGGTTTGAGTCAGTTCCTGCAGAAAATAACATAAAGTGAAACATACTTAGAAGAAACATGAAACTAGACAAGCCAAGCTAACTATCACGATGACCTCCATGAAATATCATAGGGTAAATTGCTCTTTAGCCCTTGAGAGATATCAAAATTACAGTCATTTCTATCCCGAAAATATACACAACCTTCTGCTGAGATGCATTACACTTGTCTCCCTTGCAAATAAGCTGCAATTTCATTTATTTAGACCAAAATACCATATAGCTAATATATAATATAACAAATATTTAATTGTTTGACCAGTAGAAAATGGTGGATTTTTAAAATTTAGCAAAAGATAAAAGCATTGAAAAATATATTAGAAACAAAAAACATATCCACAAAAATAATATTTCAATATTAGATCTATATATAATATTTTAATTTCAAGAAGAAATTTTTTATTAGTACATATTCATAAGTACAAACATTGTCATAAATATAATAAAATTTTAGAACAAACTAAATTCTTGGTTTCTAAAATAAATTTTGAACTAGAAGTTTAAGAGATTACATTTTTAAATAATAAACAAAATCAATATTATTCTATAAGGTATTTTGGTTATCTTGTGGTCTCAAGGGAGGCATGTATATATTTCTGTGCAAATATGAGACATTTATTGTAAAGATATTGCAACTATTGTAAATATTTCTAGGCCTTATTAGTCTTTATTAACAGTTATTAGTCATTATTAGTATTATTTCTCTACCCTATTGTATAAGTACCTAGTTGTATTCCAATATTCAGCAAACAACAACAACAACAAGCCTTTATCTCACTAGGTGGGGTCGGCTACATGGATTGCAAGACGCCATTGTGCTCTATTATTTATCAAGCTTTTAGAAATATTATTAATTAAGAGATCACGTTCAACAACTTCAAGAGTGTTCTCTTAGGCCTTCCTCTACCTCTCTTAATCGGACTCAAAGTTATATGTTCCACTCTTCTCACCGGTGCCTCCCTTGGTCTTCTTTGTACATGCCCAAACCATCTCAACCGATTTTCTACCATTTTTTCCTCAATAGGTGCCACCCTCACTTTTTCACGTATGTGCTCATTTCGAATTTTATCTTTACGTGTATGTCCGCACATCCATCGTAACATTCTCATCTCTGCTACTCCAACTTTATGCTCTTGCTGTCCCGTTAGAGCCCAGCATTCACTACTATATAACATTGCCGGTCTGATAGCAGTACGATAAAACTTTCCTTTAAGTTTATTAGGCACTTTACGGTCACAAATAACTCCTTTAGCTTTTCTCCAATTAAACCACCCAGCTTGAATTCTATGTGAAATATCTCCACTGATTTCGCCATCATTTTGAATAATGGCTCCCAAATATCTAAACTTTTCCACTTGAGGTATAATTTGATCTCCCAATTTTACTTCCAAATTATTTTCGAATAGTCCTTTACCAAATTTACAATATAAATATTCCGTCTTACTTCTACTCAGACGAAAACCTTTCGACTCCAATGTCCTCCTCCATAACTCAAGTTTGCAATTAACCTCTTCTCTTGTCTCTGCTATAAGAACTATATCATCTGCGAAGAGCATACATTTCGGGATTTCCTCTTGAATATGTTCCGTCAAAACATTTAAAATCAAGTTGAACAAATAAGGACTCAGAGATGATCCCTGATGTAGTCCATTCTTTATAGGAAAATCCTTTGTTTGACCACTAGGCGTTCTTATACTAGTTTTTACCCCTCATACATATCTTGTATGGCTTTAATATAAGCAATCCGTACTCCCTTTTTTTCCAACGCTTTCCAAAGCACTTCTCTTGGTATACGGTCATAAGCTTTTTCCAAATCAATAAAAACCATGTGTAGATCTTTATCTTTACAACGATACTTTTCCATTAATCCCCTTAGTAGATAAATCGCCTCTGTAGTTGATCTACCTGGCATAAAACCAAATTGATTCTCAGAAATACTTGTCTCCAATCTCAACCTGTGCTCAATTACTTTCTCCCACAATTTCATTGTGTGGCTTATGAGTTTAATCCCTCTATAGTTAGTACAATTCTGAATATCTCCTTTATTTTATAAATAGGAATTAATGTACTTCTCCTCCACTCATCAGGCATTTTCTTGGATCGTAAAATCACATTAAATAACTTAGTTAACCATCTCACCCCTTCTTCACCTAAAACATTTCCACGCTTCGATAGATATACAATCAGGTCCGTTAGCTCTACCATTTGCCATTTCTTAAGAGCTTCCTTTACCTCCTTATCACGTATTTTTCGATAGAATGATAAATTTTGTTCTCCTTCACCAGTTATTAAATCCTCCAAGTTACTAGATGAATCCTCTCCATCATTGAAAAGTTTAGATGTATTCCAATATTCAGCATTAATGAGAAATAGTTTCTCTCAATTCCATATGGTATCAAAGCAAAAGATGCGAAATCAACATTAGGGATTATGGGTCATGGTTCCGTAAGGCAAAGTGTTCTGTACCCTAAGGGAGTTATGAACGTGATGATTGAGGCCTTATTGGCCATCATCCCCACCTTGGGAGTGGTCAGCAAGCACCAATCGACGGAATCCCCAAAGCTTGTCGACTTGCCACCTCTAGATCTAGTGCCAAATTACGTAGGTGGTGCATGGGGGAGTGTGCCATCGCCATTCAGGCTGTTGCTCATCTCTTTGGTGACGAAACAAGATTTTCGATGAGATCCCTAAGATTCCTACAGCTGGGTACCCTTTTTTGATTTTTTTTTTGTCTCTATAGTATGTTCAGGCTTCTATTTGAACAATTCTGGAGTAACAGTCAGATAGTTCTGCCGATTCCTTTCTCATGTATGGGTTTCATCTCACAGGAAGCTCTAGAATGATTATTTAGACCCTCATAAATACTATGATTACAGTGACCTAATATGGGTCTCTAGCATTAGTAGAAGAATAGGGGTCTTCAGGAGCCTCCGAGCATATGATGTGTTGTCATGAGTTGTTTACCACTTATACCCCATGTGTTAGAAATATTAAAATCAAGATTGCAGATGGCTCCTTAACCTTGTAGCAGGAAAAGGAAGTATTCAAATTTCTGATTTCATAGTGTTAGAATTTATACTTCATGTGCCAAAACTTGATTGTAGCTTACTTTCAATTAGTCAATTGACCAAACAATCCAATTGTTATGCTAAATTCCTCACATCCCATTATGTGTTTCAGGATATATCATCTGGAGTGACAATCGAAAGTGTTAAGAGGTATGAAGGGCTCTACTACTTCAAAGTCACCATTCGAGTGGGTAACTTACTGGTTGTTGGTAATTTTGTATCTATCTCTAAAGTTATTGATTTTAATGCTGTGACATAACAAGATGGGTCATCTTAACTTTCTTATCCTAAATATCAATGACATTCATTGTGAAGTGTGTTAACTTGCCAAATACTATCGAACATCCTTTCCTAGAGCCAAATACACACCCACCAAGCCTTTCACAACCATTCACAATGACTTATGAGAACCATCTTCTATACTCAATCTTACTAAAGCAACATGTTCATTTCCATCATTGATGATCACATTTGTGTCTGTTGGGTTTATCTTTTACAAAACAAGTTTGAGGCTACATCAACATTCATGAATTTCTTTAACATGATCAAAACCTAGTTTAATACTATAATTCAAGTCTTACAAACTAACAATGGCACTGAGTACTTTAATTGATCTTTAAGCACTTTCCTCCAAATGCATGGTATTGTCCAATTCTTGTGCCTACATACCCCAAAAAAATAGGGTTGCAAAAAGAAAAAAATCATCATCATACACTTGATGTTACTAGAGCACTTATGTTTACCTGCAATGTGCCTAAGTTTTATTGGGGGGATGCTATTTTGACCATGACCTACCTCATCAACCATATGCCTAGTCAAATCTTATCCTTTGAAACTTCTCTGCAAAAATTGCAAAGTTTTTCTCTCCACATCCCATATCAAAGCCAATCTTTCGCTTCATGTGCTTGGTTACACAATCTGTGTCCATAACCACCAACACACCAAACTTAAACCTCAAGCAATCAAATGTATATTTGTTGGCTTATCTGCTACTCAGAAAGGATACAGATGCTTTGACCCTGTTTCAAAAAACACATTTGCTAGCCTTAATGTCACCTTTCATGAAGCTACTATATTCTATCCCAATTCTTCGATTCAAGGGGAGAGTATAGGAGAATTTCAAAGTTAGGAACAAGAACTCAATAGCAATCTAGTGCATATTAAGCCATTATTACTACCAACCTCTGAGTCATTATCTTCATCTAAGCCTTTACCTTCATACCCTCTTATGTCACAACCTAAGGAACACAAGCAACACAAGCAGACAAGGGGAGAAGCAAAGAGACCACGAAAGAGAGAACTATCAATTTATACTTGAAAAAGGAAATCGGAAGATAGTAAGCAACTTATACCTGAAGCACTAAGAGAGTCAGAACCAAAGGTAGCTCCTGAAGCAGAAACTCACGGAGACTTAGAATAGATGGTATAGAACAAGTGAATCTACTGATCTTGATCTTCCTATTGCTTTGAGGAAGTAACCTTGTTCATGTACTTTCCATCTGATAGAGAGGTTTGTCTCATACAATGCACTTTCTCTGCAACATCAGGCTTTTGTCACTAATCTTGATAAAGGTAAAGGTACTTGAGACTATACAGGAAGCCTTAAGCATTCCTGAATGGCGGAGTGCTGTCATAAAAGAAATGAGGGTCCTGGAAAAGAATGGAACGTGGAAACTTGTTCCAACTACCCCAAAGGAAAGAAAACAGTGAGTTGTAAGTGGGTGTTTACCCCAAAATACAAGGTTTGATACAGCCCTTGACAAATTGAAAGCACGTTTCGTTGCAAAAGGGCTTACCCAGACATATGGTTTGGACTAGGAAGAAAACATCTGCTCCGGGTGGCAAAACTAAACACGATCGGAATCTTATTGTCTGTAGCAGCTAATCTTGAGTGACCTCTTATCAACTTGACATCAAAAATGCATTTCTGAATGGAGAGTTGAAAAAGAAGTTTACGTGACTCTACTCCTCGAGTCTGATAAAGGCTGAGAAAATAAAGTCTGTAAACTGAAAAAATTTATATATGGCTTGAAAACAGTCACTAAAGGTTAGTTTGATAGGTTTTTGAGAGTCCTAAAGTCTGAAGGTTACAAGCAAGCTCTCTCAAATCATACAATGTTTGTTAAGGTTGAGGAAAGCAAAAATGCATTCTTATTGTCTATGTTGATGAGATGATACTCACTGGAGATCATTTTGAGGAGATATAGAGAGTAAAGGGTACCCTTGGCAAGGAATTTAAAATTTAAAGTCAAGGATCTTGGGAAGCTAAAACACTTCTTGAGATTGAGTTGGAAGTTGCAAGGTTAAGAAGAGGAATCTATGTTTGTCAGAGGATATATACTTGATCCTTGATGGAGACAGGTATGTTGGGTTGCAAACCTATTGAAATCCCTGTTGAAATCAAGAAACCAAAGAAGAAGCCTAAGGAAGTGAAGAAGAGGAGGAAGCCAAAGAAAAGGAAGAAGTAGTTGACAAGGAGAGATATCAAAAGCTCATTGGAAGCTGATATATCTCTCTCATATAAGGCCAGATATAGCATTCGTTGTCAGTGTAGCCAATCAATGTATGAGTTGTCCAATGAAGAGTCATATGGAGGCAGTATATAGGATTTTGAAATACTTGAAAGGCACTCCTGGTAAGGCTTATTCTTCAGAAAACATGAGCAGAGATCCATTGAGTTTACACTAATGCAAGTTGGGTGGAATCTATAAAGATTAAAGATCAACCTCTAGTTATTGTTCATTTGTGCAAGGAAATTTAGTTACCTGGAAAAGCCAGAAGCAATGAGTTGTTTCAAGAAATAATGCTGAATATGAATTAAGAGCTTTGGCTCAAGGAATAGCAGAGGAGTTGCCGCTGAAACGAGTTTTAAATGAAATACAAATGGGAGCAAGCTCACTATTAAAGCTTTACTGTGATGATCCATAAACATAGCCCTTAAATCCAGTAACACATGACAGATCTAAACATGTTGAAATAGACCGGCACTTTATCAAAGAAAAAGTAGAAGGAATTTCGTTAGTATTCTCTATCTTATAACTGACTAAGTCAAAGATAATGTGAAATTTTATTATTTAATTAATTATTTATTAAAGTGGTTATTATCTAGTATATATAGCCGATCAGTCGATAACCACAAACACACGATAGTTTTCACTTATTCCATTATTTCTGAACTCTCTGCAAATTACGGAGTCCAGGGGATTGTACATTTGTCTATACTCAAGGTAATCAAGGTATCTCTAGCGATCATGGATTCTTTAGGTACACACACATTACTTTGTTTAATATCATTTGTTTATATGAATTGAGATATTAAGGTTTACACGTGGTATCAAGTTAGACTCGAACAATACGTTGTTTTGTTAATTCAGATTTTCAAACAAGATATATACTCAGTTCACTAAAGAATCCAGTGTATCGCACAAATAAAACAGCAAAGCTTCCTCACTAAGTTCACTTGGAGATATAACCATTAATTATAGATATATATTCCTAAAACAATATCATGAAGTATTAATTGCAGACACAGTCGGTACAAAAATTCCAGGGTTTGCGGTTTATATAACCTTCAGATTCAGGCACAACTGGAACAGCAGAGGCTCTAGTTCTGTTACACATGTCTTCTAACTGCATATTTGACAATCAGATTATGTCCAATATAAAACAATGTTGATAAGGAGATAATATTCTGGTTGATGCGGGGAAATTTAGAAAAAAGTGCTGGTGCTAAGCGTAAATTATTAAAAATAAATAAACAAATAAATCCTTCAATTTGTTGTAAAGTTAGCCCCAAAATAAGAATGCTTTCAAGTCAAATTTATGCATCTCAGAGAATAAGAACACAAAATGGAATTAAGCTTTAGATTTTTCCGTCACTCAGTCATCTTAACCATGCAAGGGGAACGCAAATACCAGCAGCCATATGACTTTAGCACAAGGAAGAAATGAACTTCCAGCCACTAAAATACACTTGCAAGTGGCCAATGTATCAACTAGAATTCTATTTTTAATTGTGTCCATAACATGGAATCGATAACCTTCTATGTTAGGTTCCACTAAGAAAAATAAAGTAAATAGTCCGATAGTACCATCAAGATATGGAGAAAACAAATGGCAAATCATGTCTGAATCTAGATTAAAAAAAAAAAAAGGGAAGAGGCCCCTCTTTAACCAGTAACATATGTCATCAAAATATAAAAACCTTTCCACGCTCCCACCACCCAAAGATAATTTTTATTTTTAGAGAAAAAAGGAGACAAAGAATTAAAGCAAATAAACCATATATGGATAATAGATAGAGCACTAACTTGTCTCCAAACTTCTTCATTTGGGGCATTCTTGTCAGCAAGCATTATAGAAATAAGGTTTCTTCCTGCATTCGTCAGCAACCTTCTGCCAATACTTTGCTGATAATACGCCACACAAGCACATATTAGTTATCAAGTAGGTGTTAATTTGATAAAATTACCTAATTATTGAAGCATTATAGGTATAATAAAACCAAATCTTAACAGAAAGCATGACTCAGGATCAACACAGCTTCGTAAAAATAAAAAGTACAATTTCTAATATGCGTTCTTGATAAAACTTACCTTTAACCAGATCACCCATAAGACTATGAACTGGTCGATCTGCAAATGCATCTAGGGAATTTAGCAACTCTTTGCAAAGAGCAGACTTTGCACATCCAGGAATTCCTGAAAATAAAAAGACAAAAAAAAAAAAACAAAACAAAAAAACCCCACAGGGAGGGGGATCCACAAGGGTGAGAATCAGATAGGGGGAAAAACAGTGTGCTCGTCATGGGCAAAAACTTATATCAAACTAGAATCTGTTAAGTCTAAGTCGCACACATACACTTTGTAAAAAGGATTAATCTGGATCACAAATCTAGGGCTTATTAAAACGTATGAAGCCAATAGTTCGTTTGGGATTTAAGTTCCTCAACTTCAGCAAGTGAATCTAATGCATCTTGCTTAAAAGTGTTAGCTCATCGAATTAGTTTCCTTGTATATGAAATTTGATTAGTCAAATACAAGCACCTGATAATCTTAGAATGCTGAGTCAACACCAAGTTCTTGTTCTTGAGGGAAGGCATCGATAGATACAGACAACTGATTAAATTAGCGCCATCCTTCCATTTATTTCACCAATCCATTAAAAATGGAGGAAAATGGGGCTATTGCAAAAGTGGCTCTTCTGATTTCTTGTTTATCGAAGAATGGAATATAGAAAATAGCTTGCACAACCGAGGATAGCTTATCTAATCTCAACAGAAGGAATGAACCCGATTCAAACTTTCTTAATCTCCTGGCCTAAATAATAGGAAATAAACAGGAAATAAGTTGCAAAAAATACAAAACAAGAAGTTTAAAACACAAACAACTGCTTTTCACAAGAGAGTACGAGGCCAGGCTATGAGCCTGTGTCTAGTCATACAGCCAGCCCATGTGATTCTCCATCCATATGTCTGATAACTGCACCTGCCTGTGATTCCACACAGATAAGCCATTTCGCCTTCTATCCCTAGTACTGTGCAATCCAAAAATATTAAGGGAAATTCTTCCCAATGCACTGAAAGAGTTCATGATACAGCAAAGCAGCTGACCCATCAGCATTTAGGTACATTCTTCTATCAGTTCATCCGCAGTATACTTAATTGAAATCTTTCTCATTCTTCTAAGTTCCAGCCATTTTACATGACATATTAATCTTGAATATTATAGAGTGGGGAGGCTAAGCAATAAAAAATCTATCTGTTGGGAATTCCAATAAGCTCATTAAATGTTGCTGAAGGAAGTTGGCAAAGTAATTACCAGGAAAAACACAATCAACCCTTCCTGTTTTGCTATAGTGTTCGCAGCCAAGGTACTAGACTTTGGTGACGGTATTTCCTTCTCTGCCATAAGATCACCTTCTTCATCATGCCCTTCCTCCACAATGGCTATAAAATCTTCATTTCTTACTAAATGACCAGCAGAACCTACTAGAGCTTGGTTTTGTGGACTACGTTTTGCAAACTGTTCAAGGAAAGGTTCCGCTTCGCTAAGATATACTGATGATGAGAGTGTTTATTTCCGTACTTCCTTCTTATATACACACAGCCCTGAAAAAGGGAGAAGAATTTTCATCTGCTGCACCAACCACACGCTGAATATAATTATATGGGGTATAAAGAGTGAGGAGTCTAATCAGAATGCCAATGCAAAATTATGCAGAATATTATCTATACTGATACAGGATTCTTTTTCCCCCTTTTCCCCTTTTTATTGTTGGTTCATAGTTCATATACAAGAATGATTCAGGCATTACCATTCATCAAGCATCTTGCTAAGTTCTCTCTGCTTTCCAGAAGAAGCCCCAATTTTTCATTTGCCTGAAATATTACAAAATTTGTTCAGGATATAAGCTTTGGTGATACTGGCATGCAAACAGTACATGCCTTCATTTTTAATAACAGTTTGATTGCCAACACAGCAGGTAACATGCCAAATTCTCATTTTCCCCATTTTGACATCATCACTTGATGCAGCTACATACTGCATTATGCCTTAGGGTAACTGAAACCATATATCTATATTACTAACATGCTGAAGGGAAACTTGTCGATAAGAATAAAGTATGACTGGATGAATATTTTTGGGACAATATTTTAAGTTGTTTACAAAATAAAGAATAAATAATTAGACATATTTCCTCTTGCTCATAAGGAACTACCAATGAAGTTCAAAATTAAACAAGTCTTTGTCTTTCTATCAAACATCCTGCTTAGCATCATCGCTCACACCCTTATAAAGCAAAATGAACGATATATACACCCAATCTTTAGGAAGCACACTGCCATTAGGAAAGAATTTTGATTCTCACAGCATGAGCAACCATTATTGAACCTTAAAACAAAAATATATCTGGATAGATTGCCTATCTTAGAACAGACATCTATCTCAATCCCCAACCAATAGGAGGCCGTTTTAAAAATACATAGTGCGATCAGGGAATGTTTGTTGTTCAATTTATCAAGGCAAAAGAACAACAACAACAACAATATATACCTTATTGACAGATCATTTATATTTTCAATCTACATACCTGAGGTAATAAGCCTTTGTAAGCACCTGACCTTCTTTAAACAGAATTGACAAGCCATTTCGAATCAAAAAGGTTCGCAGCTGGAACACAAACCCAAAATAAGAACAACAAAAGGACCATAAGCAGATGCTACCAAATAAGCTTTGGTGATACTGGCATGCAAACAGTACATGCAAACAGTACATGCCTTCATTTTTAATAACAGTTTGATTGCCAACACAGCAGGTAACATGCCAAAATTCTCATTTTCCCCATTTGACATCAGCACTTGATGCAGCTACATACTGCATTATGCCTTTAGGGTAACTGAACCATATATCTATATTACTAACAACCATATATCTATATTACTAACATGCTGAAGGGAAACTTGTCGATAAGAATAAAGTATGACTGGATGAATATTTTTGGGACAAGATTTAAGTTGTTACAAAAATAAAGAATAAATAATTAGACATATTTCCTCTTGCTCATAAGGAACTACAATGAAGTTCAAAATTAAACAAGTCTTTGTCTTTCTATCAACATCCTGCTTAGCATCATCGCTCACACCCTTATAAAGCAAAATGAACGATATATACACCAATCTTTAGGAAGCACACTGCCATTAGGAAAGAATGTTGATTCTCACAGCATGAGCACCATTATTGAACCTTAAAAAAAAATATATCTGGATAGATTGCCTATCTTAGAACAGACATCTATCTCAATCCCCAACCAATAGGAGGCCGTTTTAAAAATACATAGTGCGATCAGGGAATTGTTTGTTGTTCAATTTATCAAGGCAAAAGAACAAACAACAAACAACAATATATACCTTATTGACAAGATCATTTATATTTCAATCTACATACCTGAGGTAATAAGCCTTGTAAGCACCTGGACCTTCTTTAAACAGAATTGACAAGCCATTTCGAATCAAAAAGGTTCGCAGCTAGAACACAAACCCAAAATAAGAACACAAATAGGACCATAAGCAGATGCTACCAAACATTAGACAATTATCAGCTGCAGAGCCACCTCTTGTAATAAGCAAAGCTTCAAGAACTCTTCTTTTAATAAGTAAGACTTGAGGAACTGTCAAAGATATATACTTCTAGAAAGCAAGTATCAATCAATCATAAGAGGATAGAAGAAAAAGAAGGCACGAAATGGAAAAGATTATTAAAGTCAGGGCATGTAATAATAAGTAAAAATGAAGTTACTTCCAAAAGAATGAAGATGCAAAAACTTAATGCATTATCTTGACTCTTCCAGGGACATTGATTTTAGCTGGGAATGGGGTAAGTGGTTTTGAAATCTTATTCTATGTGTTCAAACTTAGACTAATTTAACAGGGATCCATCAGAGTTGTTTTTCTCCTAATCAGTTTTTTTTCGAGGGAGGAAAGTTTCCTTAGTTCTCTCTCCCCATTTTACTATTACAATAGAAATTAAAAAAAACAAACTAATACAAAACTAAGTTTCAGACAAAATAAAGATGATTTGGAGCAGTTCAAATTCATTCAGATATACAGAATTTTTTCAGTTAAACAGCTCTGAACCATTTTCTATAAAATCATCCAACTTTGTCTTTGTCTTAAAGATTGTAAATAAGGATACGTACCTTATATGTAAGAAATTTCAATTTGACCATCAAGTTTGCATCTTCATCTGCAAAGTCATTTCCAGAGGTGCTGGTACCATTTTCAACCACATTATCATTGCCCTTAGAGATTTCACTAGATCTCTCCTTATTTGCCTTGAATATATTAATATCAACAAAAAAGCCTGAAAAAATTGTGAAGTATCTCATAATTTAATAATAAACAGCATATATTAGCTTTGCAAATTTCAAATTTGTTGAAAAACACAATTTTAAAAAGTCCAAGCAAACCGCATGATATTTCCAATTGTGGTTTCTTTTATGTAGTTTGATCACCTCCAATTTTACTATTTACTTTTCAGTTCAGATAGGATTAGATTAGGTTTATCTCCCATGATTTAGCTGTTTATTTTCTTTTGTTTAGGTAGGCTTTATCACTTAATTACTTGAGAATTTGAGTCTCTTGCTCCCTCTCTCTCATCTTCTATAAAGTACTGCTTTGCTGTTCAATAGAATAAGGTCAAAGGACAAATGAATCCCCAATTTCGCTGAAAATGATACACCATCAGTCTGTCATTGAATCAGCAACGAAGAGTCCTAGGGGTCTAGGTAAATTTTGATAGTGGTTTATTACAGGAATGTCTCGTGCCCCTAGCCCCAGAAATACTTGATATTTAGGTCTATACCTAAGTTTGAAAATGTTCTTTCAGCTCAAATGTTCAAAATTTATAATATGCTGAAATTTATGAGACATACAAGGATCAACTAGCCATCTTCTCATCTCTTCAATTCAACGTAAACTTGGAAAGGAATATCTTATTATAGTCATTCACTCAATAGTTTTAGCCTTTGGGTAAAAGTGGTATTTAACAACAATACAACAACAAGCTTTATCCTATTAGATGAGGTCAGCCACATGAGTCATACAACGCCGGTATGCTCCATCATTTATCAAGCTTTAGAAATATTGTTAATTAAAAAGTCTCGATTAACAACTTCCAAAAATATTCTCTTTGGCCTTTGTCTATCTCTCTTGATTGAGCTCAAAGTTATTTGTTCCACTTTCTTCTCACAGGTACCTCCTGCGGTTTTCTTTATACATATCCAAACCATCTCAAACGATTTTCTACCATTTTTCCTTTAATAGGTGCAAAGCCCACTTTTTTCTGTATGCGCCCATTTCAGATTTTGTCTTTACGGTAACATTGTACCAAAATCTTATGACTAAGTAGTCAAGAATTCAATCATCGTCATCCCTCATTTTCCTAAATAAAATTAATTTTCAGTGAGAAGTATAATAGGACTCTTGTCGAGACCTAAAACACAAAAGGCTTTCTTGTGAGGAGGCACGTTAGAGATTGTAAGTTTTAACAAAACAATCATTCACTTGACGTTTAAGCTTTTGAGCTTGAGTAGTCTTTTGACATGTTTTCTAATCATTCATACTTGACATTTAAGCTTTTGAGCTTGAGTAGTCTTTGGCATGTTTTCTAGGCATTCATATGGCATGACAATAAATACATATCCTACATATCATTAACTTCAAAGTGACTCACCACACAAACCTGAAGATCTGACACAAATTGGGACTCTAATCATCAAAGTACACAAACTAGCCAAGCTCTGTTTAGTTTAGTCAAAAGCCTCAATTCAGCCCAAAAATGACTTTGGAGATATATCACTCACTTTTAATATTTTATTGATGATTAGGGATTGTCACAATATACTGAAAAATTCAGATTTTTTTTTTTTTCCAAATACCAATTCAGTACTCAAACATCTACATTTCTTGAGTGAAACTTCAAGCTCTAAGCATATTTGGGGGGGGGGGGGCACAATCACCATATCTAGGTGTTAAAAATACATAATATTCACCTCGATAGAGCGGCCACAATCCGGGTTTATGCCTGAAATTGCACAAATAATGCATGAAAATAAAAATGAAAAGGCTCTTAAAGGATTTTTTTTTTTTATTAAATTAAGGAGCCAAATAATCAGGGAGATAATCAGATTAAAACAAGACCTCATCTCTTTCTGGTATCGTCGAAAGGCAGAATCACTGTGTACATGAATAACCATTCTGTAGAAAAAGTTGTCACGTGCCATGGCATCTACTTCATGGAAGTTATGATAACATTTGAATGCAGCAGGGTAGCGTTTTTCTCTCATCAACCGAACAATTTCCTGAAAATGTTTTAAATCAAAATTATCACTATAAAATGAAACCCAAGAAAAGAAGGCACCACATTTAAAAAGAAAATGTCAATATTTCTTGAGCAATGGAGACCTTTCCAATCACACATATAGAAAAGTAATAGTAAGTAATCGCTGATTACTCAAGCTAGAGAAGAGACTGCAAGTCGATTTTTTTTTATAAGAAAATACAAAACAAAAACAAGTCATGAACCAAATGATTTGACAAATTTATTAAAACCATGAGATACTAACTAATGAAAAATGAAGAAAAAGTGCATGGAAATTATAATGGTCAACTGAAAAAATGCCATGCGTAAAAACATGATTTAGAAGAGTCTAGACTGACCTGCAACTTCCTAGTTGAATAGTCTGCAGGATTGGCTTGTAAAAACTTTGAAAGAACAGATCTATCAGCATTTCTTGAATGGCCATCAGCACCGTCAGGCCCAAACCAGTCTGAGTGGTCTGGGCAAAAAGAACTGCCAACACTATTGAGAAGAGCTTTTATTTGCTGCAGAGGCATTCCAAATGCAAATTCAAATCACAAATATATCTCAAAAATTACCTTAATCAATACAGAAAATTGCCTCTAATAGACAACAGAGATAATGTACTTTATGATATACCTGCTTTTCATCAGACCTATTTGCAGCACAAATTTCTCTGAGATTTGGTCCAAAATCAAGGCCAACTAAAGGAAAAAAGGGATATTCATTAGAAAGTCCGAAATCTGAAATCTGAATTGCAACTTTTATTTTGACTACCATTTAAGAGGATCAAGTCAACAATGTGGACTTGCAAAAAGGAGCAGTACCTAATTTAGTATCACATCATAATTTTTTTTCTTTAAAAAAAAAAAAAAACCTATTCACTGACATGTATTGACTAAACATTGGATCTATGATGCCAAGCTTTGGCATAACATAATATCTTGTCACAAGGTCAGATGTCATTCGCTTAAAACTAATATTGATGAACAGATAACAAGGATTTAAAAAGTGTAGATGACACAGTGACAAGCACATAATGCATAAAAGAAGCATACCTCCGTCAGCAGGAGGAGGAGGGAATTCTTTTAAAACTTTTTCCATATGGCTTGAGCTCTCCCGAGCAACAATACGAGCCACAAGACCCTCTAAGATTTCACCTTGGGCTCTAACATGATCCTTTGAACCTGCATTGGTTCAAACAAGTATAAAAACAGTGCATTTGATTAATGGCTCATAAGAAGAGAACCTGTCTATCAGTTGAGAATTCCACCAACAAAAGAACATGAAGTATTGAAATTACAAACCAATTCATTCAAAATCCTTCCATGATACTCAATACAAAAATAAGCAAACAACAACAATGATAACAAGCCTTCTCCCACTTAGTAGGGTATTGAAGATAAAGGAAATTAAAGGGGGGGGGGAGAATGGCAGTGAGGGCCCCCAGAGGAGGGGGAAAAAAACATACCAAAGGCAAATTACAAACTAGTGGACTATGATTTCAGGAATATATTGGTAGTGTGCAAGGGAACAGAGCATTAAGTCTGCAGTATGGTTTTCATAACAGGCATAAAAACAACAGAGGTACTAATCTTGATGTATACAGCCTAGCAATCTTGAAGCATCATTTTAGAAACATCCAAGCATCATAATTCTTTTAAGGCCCTATTTGGTACAAAGGAATAAGATGGTGGAACTGGGACTGGGACTGAATAATTCCACTTTATGTTTGGTATGAAGTAATGCACAATCCAATGCCAGTACCAATCCCACCTTTCATGGGATTACCCAATACCACGTCCCCCATGGTATTGCAAAAATCAATCCTAGGATTGATTTTTTCAAGATGAAAATGCCCTTCAACCTCACCAGTTATTCATCGGTCATCCCCCTCTCTTCCAATAAGCATTGGTCATGCCCTCTTGCTGCGCCATTCCCTCCGCCATTCCTATTGTGCCTCCATCTTCTTCTTTCTCTAGTTCAACCCTCTTGTTGGTCAAATCTTCAAGCCTTCTTAAACTCCATTTCCCTGTCTTCATCTTCAAACCCAAATCAGCGATGTTGGCGTCGGCGGGAGTTTAAGAGTCAGCCAAATCCCATCATCATCTTCCTCAGTTCGAAAGCCCAGATCTGATTTGAGTATGTTGCGTTCAAGAGTCCAGATCCCATGGCCGCCAAAGAATTGGGTCTGCTCCGTCGCTTCTAAGTCATCTTTGAACCTAGGTCCGCTCCATCAAGATTGATGCCAGTGAGATGCAGACAAAGCGAGAGCTAAGAGAGGACAAAGGTGATCACAGCGAGGGAGGTTGGGATGGGTATCTTGCGATAGAGAAACTGGGTTTTCAGGCTATAATTTTTTTATTAATTATAAGCGTATTATAGTCTTTTAATAATTTATGTTTAATTACAAGATAAATATTCCATGCAATTATTACTTCATACCAAACATAATTTTAAAGCATTAATCCCATTACCAATCACAATCCCAATCCCAATCACACTAATTTCAAGTCCTCATACCAAACAAGCCCAAGGGATTTCCTATATTTCTTCATTGTAATGCCAACTTAATTGCTTTATGCTACCAGCTGCAGTGGCAAATATGAGAACTTGTGAAAATGATTTGTCAGGGAAAAAAAGTCTTCAAATAGCCTTTCAAACATATGATCTATGACACAAAGGTCAAATTCATCAACTATGTTACCCTTAAAAACCATACCTGGTATGGATACATCAGCAATCTCGTCAAGAGCCTTACATACAGGAGTAGCAGTACCCTCTTCACATAAGGCATCAAAGGCAGCAAAGAAGGATGAAACTGATTTCCTGCATTTAGAGAAAAGCAAGACCGAAAATTCTTTATGCTCTGACAGACTTTAACCAGATTGATTTGACAAGAAAAATCAACATCTAAGTGTAATGCTTTAAAAATAACAGAGAGAAATATTCAACACTTATAAAATAAGTGGAAATATCTTACAGCATGTATTGTATGGCAAACAAGAGAAAATTGTGTAACAATGACCCAATTAACCCATTGATTGTCTGAAACACTTGTGGCCAAAAAGTTAGACCATTATATAAAATCTGACTAATCTCAAGATGAAAAAACTAATGCCAAAAGTATAACAAGTTTAAGAACATAATAATTAAGTTACAAAGACCATTGACATTCATTATGAAAGACAAGGAACCCGATAATATGCAAACCAGTGACAAGTAGAAATGAAACAGAACTTCTAATGCTACTCTAATCATTTGAGTATGCCTGCATTTGTGAGGCATACAATATACATTTAAGCTGTGCAATGCACAAAAAGTGTGCCTATAGCAAGCCATACTATTTATAAACCATGAATAGGGCAGTTCATTTCTCAAATTCCATGCAATGCAAAGAAAATCATGTCTAGTTTACAGTGTAAAGTAACGCAACCCCTAAATTTTCACCTTGTAGAAAACAACCACACATGATTTGTAGGTAGGCGCCATTTTCTGCAGAAAGCAATTATCTCAGGAGTTGAATAGAACTTTGGCCTTCCTTTGCCCAGTTCAGTGACAGCAGTGACTACCACTGCTCAAAAAAAGAAATAAAATAGCATTATTATATAAAAATAGTTCCACCCAATATTGAGCATGAAATAAATTTTGAAAACCACTATTTTTTGAAGCATGCTTTACTTACTAAAAGGAGTAGAACATTACATGTCAAAAGAAACTCAAATGCTACTACAAAATTTTCATCAGTTCTTTCAAATGCAACAGAAAAGTCTAGAACATGAAGCTTTCAATCAAACTCAAAGTAAACCATGCAGATCAGATACCTGCTGCAGCTACATAGAGATCTACACCATTCTTAGTCTGTTTGATATAAAATAATATAAGTTTTGGACACAACAACACTTGGAATTTGCAGTTATGGTTACAACCATAGTTCACTGTCTACATCCGCAAACCAACAATTGAGCATCTAAATCTAGAGTCAATGTATTGAACTTGTGAAATTATATAAATTCATAAAGAAAAGGTAAACTAGTAATGTATTCTCACAAGAGTTTATCTTCACTGATAAATATTAATAAATAGCTATTAAATTTTATATGGAAGTAATCTCAAATGAAAAATAATGGAATCTGTACCCTGTCCCGTGTTCAATTCCTAGGGTGACCGTGCCAAATTCATGTAATGTATTTAACTCACTCATTCAATGAGTTTGTGAGTGAGTCAAAAAATTCTTGTCAGTTTCAACAAGTTATGAGTGGGTCTTTAACGCTGCAAGTTCATGAGCAACTCAGTTCATTTTCCTTCAGTAGAATTGCCCCAACTCACCAAATCAACCAAGTTGACTGGTGAGTTCGACAATGATGGTCATAACTCATAACCACAAGCAATTAACCTGGCCTCAATTAAAATCCTATGCAGAATACAAAAGTAATTCCTTTCACTGATTAAACTAAACAACACTCAAAAGGAACACCACATGGAATGATGGAACAAAATACCAGGAATTTCTTAAATCAATAAAATGAAAATTTATTTTACCAAAATCTTCCTTGGGACGCTGTCCATGGTCTCCAAGAACAGCAGTTACTAGTTCCATTGATATGCACATATGGTTTCTCTGAAAGAGGAAATAATGATAAGGTCCATTAAACATGACTCACAGCTAGTCAAATGTGTCAATTACAACAAAAAAGCGGATATAAGATTGAAAAATAAGTCTAGGAAAAGTGATTGAATATAAGGGATGTATAAGCTCAAAAGTAAATGCCAGGAGTGAGAAAATAAATCAACCAAAAAGAGAGCAAGAACAAGTACGTCAAGTTCCAACTTCCAAGAACAAGAAAAGCAGAAAATAGAATCATCAGAAACCTGTGTTTAAAGGAATGCAAAACATTTCACCAGCCAAGCATTAAAAAATTTTGATCATAAATCACACAAATGATTTAGAAAATAACCCAAAAACACAAGAGGTAGGAGCAATTGAAGGAAATTCAGGTTAACAAGCAATTGTTGAAGAAAAGGAATACAACTTCCACATTAAAGCAATTTTTAACATATGAAACACTGTCCAATTAAGCATGCAGAATTTACATGAAAAATGTAAAATTAAATCCGCTGTTGGTTAGCAGATCTTATACCCCAATCACATCTTACCCCTGAATTTTGCAGACATGTAATGTCATATAAAGCTTTCACAGAGCATGATTAAGTAACATTTTACTACTGGAGATGGATCTTTCCAACTTTTACTAATTTGTTTCATCCTTGGAGATGCTTTAATGAGTGCTATCAAAGAAGCCTATCGCATGCTAACATGTCCAATCTTTTTTTTTTTTTTGGGTTCCCTTTTAGAGTATCACCTCAAGAAACTCATTAAATTCGACTTGCTTTTTTGATGCTCCAGTACCCCAAGCCTCACGAAACATCCGTCCAAGAACAAATACACCCACGGCAGTATATCTGTGCCAGGCAAAATAACATTACAATTATAAATATAATCTGAAAAGCAAAATAATTTGAAGAACACAGCAATACATATGGTGAAGAATGAATAAGAAAAACTCAAAAAAAAAAAAAAACTCTCCAGACTCAAAAAATCAATAAGAGCACAACAAAAAGAAACCTTGTCCCACTAAATGAGGTAATAATTAATAAGAATAAAGTAAATAAAATTGGAACACAAGTAAAATTCTAACTGTAACTAAAGCTCTAAATAAAAATACTTATCCTAAATATGGATAACCATTATCCACCCCAAATAAGATTCTAATCAAATAAAAATTCTATTAAATAAATAAAGGATCTGCATTATTTTCCTCTAGAAAAGAACACACCCCTTGAGAATGAAGTGACACATTGCTGAGCTGCAAGTAATTCTTAAGGTACTCAAGACGCATAATTCTTTCCCATTACAAGCCAGTTTTTAAGGGTGACTTTCCACGATCTACTAGATGCTCAGGGATGTTAGTGTATTTTCTAGTCAATTTGGATAATGGCACACTAAACTAAGTTTTGGTTTGAAGATAAAGATAAACGGGGGAAATCCAAGCACAAAATGTGGCATAGGGAGATTGAAATTGAGCTTTGAATATTCTCAATGAATTTAAATAATAAGAAAAATGTGGAAAAAAGAATAGTCTAAAAAAGTCATATTGATAAGAATGTAGGCTCCAAAGTGGTAACATGAACACAATGATAACATAACTAAAACTCCTAACAAGCATAGTTATCCTAAATATAATAAACATCACCCCACCAATCAAAAACAAAATAAACTCTAATTCATAAATTAAATACTAATCAATCAAAACTCCGTTGGAGAAATGAAGTTCAGCACCTGGATCAATGTAATAACAGAAACTGAGCATCATGGAAATCAAGAATTCCATCATGGATAAAATATTTTTTATGTCATAACAAAATTTCTCATATGATATACTCCCTCCGGTCCTTATTGTAAGATTATTTCAACCATTTCACGTATCTTAAGACAAGTTACTTTTTTCTTGATACCATAAAAAAATTTGATATACTTTTTTTTTTAACCCTCGACTTTTAATAATGATACAATTATATTAAATACCTTCACGTTAATCAAAAAAGAGTAAAATTAGAAAAAGTGATTTAAATATTAGAAAGTATCCTACATTTTAGACCAAAAATTACTTTAAAAAAGTGTCCTACTGATAGGACCAGAGGGGGTATTTTTTGATGACCATTATGGCAAATAAAAACCAAATTTCAAAATTAAAACTACAAAATAACGTAAAACTAATGGTAAGACATCATTCATACATGTTCCCAAAACTGTTTTTGGCATAAGCTCCACCCTTATGTCCAGCATACATAAAAAGGGAACCAGAGTGTTTAAGTGAGACCTGCAAATTAACTCAATTTAGTCCAACACATGAAAATTCATTAAATAGAGGTTTATCAGGTAGTCTAATTTTTAATACTAAAACTCAGATAAAGAAACTAAAACAATCTTTCAATTTGACTAAGAAAAAAATGTTAAGCACCATAATACCTCTAAGGTAGCCAAACCTTTAGATACCATCTCAATCATCCTTGCCCTGATCTGCAGGGACATAGCAATATAAATCAGTAACAATTCTAAAAATAAAATGGCATGGGCAACTGCTTGAAACAAAAATTGATCTCAATACTGATTAACACAATTTGCAGTAATATGAGCAATAGAAAAAAACTACCAAGGAAATTGGTGCAAAATCTGAGTCGGGTACAGCCAAGATAACAGGAACGGAATATTTTATAGTTTGTTTGAACTTCACAGCCATAAAATGGCTTCAAAGAAATGATAACCACATTCAACGCTAGATCGTAATCATAGGGTTATGAAGGTCATTTTAAAGAATCTAGGCTTAACAATCTGTGGCAGCTGCATCTATGAATGTAGTTGGAGGAGTGATTCTGATGCTAGGAAACAAAATCAGCAATTGGAAGATCGCTTCAGCTTCATTTCATAGCATTTGGTTTGAATGTCAACGAAGAATCCTCAATTGCAAAGAAAACTACTTGGAGAGGAAAAATAATGTTTTTAAAATTGTTTCTTTCAGCCTCTCTACAATCTAGAATCCGTTCCAAAAAGCTTAACCCAGCACAGAAGCTTCCTTATAAACTGTACTACTTTGTCTGTAAAATTTCCTAGAAAGCAACCATGTGATGTGACTTGTGAGCATATAGTTTGAAGACCAGGCTCACGAGGAAAGTGCTTCAAATGTGTACATGACATATTTCAACAAATTTGAACAAAGATGAGAAAATTAGAAATGAAACAATATAAAAAAGGAATATACCTCTTGATCAGACTTTTCATTTTCAAATTTGGGGTAGAAAGTAGCTCTTATGCGGGCAAGTGAGTAAGTGGAGTTGTCCACCGTAAAATTTTCTATCAGATCATTCCTACTCAAACCAGCAATACTACTTTTAGTTGAAGCCACTTCTGCATCAACTTTATCTACTGTGGTTTCGCTTACTGTTCCATAGGATTTAGGTTTCCAGGCTGTCTTTGAACCATGCACAGTGAACTGACTAACAGTTTGGACGCCTCCAAACTGTATGGCTGCAGCTGGAACACTGGTTTGGCCACTATTTTTAGCGACATGCATTTCAGACAGTCTGTGAGTAATAGTTTCAACAGCGGCACCTGCTGCATCAGTGGTGGCCGATGAAATCCTGTCAGCTTTAGGCTTCTCTTGCCACTTTGGTTCTTTGTACCGACCAGCTCTCTACAAAGAAACATGGACTAAATTAAAATAAATAAATAAATAAATAAAGCGCAAACAACTTAAATTTTAAACAACACTAGTAACCTTAAGCGTATTCGGTACCACTTGTAAATTATGAGCTGCAGTTAAGTGAAAACGAACTTGCCTCACAACGCTTACAATTTAGAACAAAACAAGATATAGCGTGACAGTTCAAAATTGTTCAGTGACAAAGAAACAGAACAAATTTAAACTATGAAAATATAAACTGAAAGAACAGATGGAAGGTAAGAGAAGGAGCTTCAATCACCAAACAAACCATCACGGATAATATAAGCATCTTTCATCGCAATTAGAACTAGCACTGATCAGTCATTATAGCAACAATTCAACGGCAGTCCAACGCGACAATAAGTGCAACACCAATAAAAGCGCGCGCAGAAGACATCGCACACTGAAATATGAGAGAGATTCAGCAGCAAATTACAAACCTGATTGAGAGGCATTGGTGAAGGAAAGATAAGCACAGAGCGAGCTAGAATCCTGTGATGACGAGAGAAGGGAAGGAAGAGAAGAGAAGGAGATTTGAAGGAGGAGGAAGACGAAATAGGAGGAAGTGAACAAGGGAAAGAGTGAGAAAGAGCGCAGACGATCCTCTGCGTCGCTGACATTCAAGTAGTTGGTGGAGGCCAGCAGCAACGTTTGTATACGTGGGAACTTGGCAACTTACCATGCGAAGAACGCGAAAGTTCGAAGCGCCCACACGGCGCTCTCCGGAGGTCGCTGTGTGTCCTATGTTAAAACACACGCGATTGTTTGAGAGAACGGAGTCCCGGTGAATAGGACACCGACGTCGTTTTTGGTGCTATAGCACAAGCTTTATTTTGTGGAAAAATTTCAGTGAGGAACCTAGACTCAACTTATTTTCAATCAAAACCTTTTAAATTATGAAATTAATTACAGATGTGGAAAACTGAAATAAAATTAAAATTCTGATTGAAATGATTTTATTATTTCTAGTGAAGTTAAGTACATGAACAACTCATATAAGAAATTAATAACCAATGTATAGAGAATGAATAACTGATATATATAGTATAACACTACAATGAATTTGCAACTTTCATTCTACCTATGTCAATTATTCATTTTTCATACACGAGTTGTTCATGCGTCTAGCTTTATTTGTTATATTTATAATAATGTTATACTGTTAATGAGAGTTGCAAATTTCACCTACATCAATTTTTTATTTTTTATACTCAGTTGTTAATTTTCCTACATGAATTATTCATACATCTAGTTTTACCAGGAGAATGAAATCATTTCAGTCAACTCTTTAATTTTCATTTCAATCCTCCACATATGTCATGAAATTTTAGAATTTTAAAGACTTTGATTGAAATTAAGTCTAGTCAAGAAGCCCTCATTGAAATTTTCCTTATTTTGTTGGCATTTCTAGACCATGATTTCCCTCAAATTAACTATTGGGGTATTGAGATAGAATTGAGTGCTCCATCTCCATAACCCTTACTATTTCTGTAACTTTCCTATTCATAAATTATAAGAAGTGTTTGTAACTTCTATAAGCTCCCAATAAGTGCTATTAAGTACTTTTAAATCTTGTAACCCTTTCCATTTAAAATTAAGTTATTCCATAACTTCTCCATTTGTATTAATTTTTTACCTACTTAAGACTAGTATAGATAGCTTTCATTCTATTGTATTCAAAACCACGAAAGAATAATACAAGTTTTTTATCAAAGTGAGAGTGTTTTATCTTTTCCCCTTGGCTCCTGAGCCAAGTATCATAACCTTAAATTAGTCTCCTCATTAAACAAATAAATAGTAATTAGGTTTGAGTTCCTTAATAAATCATATGACAGTCCTTTATTGAACAGGTGGGGAAATAAATAAATGGCAAAACATCAAGCTCTAGATGGCAACCGTACCACGTGGGTTTGTAACTCCCGCCAATCATGATCATGCAAATTTAACACATGCTTATCACATATCATACACATTCTCAAAACACATCCATTGCATGTAAATTTTCAAATATTATATTCAAGGCATGGACATTCTCAAGCATCATACTCATCGTATCATTAATCATCTTGCTATCATATCCCATGTCAAATGCTTATGCCAAAGACTAGCACTTATTCCACTATAACACATTATCATGATAATTCATAATTCTTTCAACATGTTTTTAAGTACATATAACTAGATTTTCATAAAGCTCACTTATAACAATTATCACATAATACAATCATATTATGGCACATTTGCATTGAAGCAATTTCACATATTTTGAAAATAGTTAGTAAACTTCTATAACCAATTAAACAATAAATACATAATCTAAATTTTTCTTAATTATCTCAAACTTTTGAAAAATCAAAGATTTAACCCTCATACACAAGTACTTCCAAAGTTTTATCAAAGCTTGAATGGTGTAAAAGATAATTAATCTGCAATTAATCATACTAATACCTATTAATATTATCATTAACACAATTTTCACTCGCATTAATCAGAACTCTATCATCCCAAAATCTCAATCTCTTGCATTTAAGCAAAATTATAGGTTTATTAATTCCTTTAGCCTAAACTAACTTTATTAAACCCTTTATTCACTATTAATAGCGTTAAACAACTTCCAAACTTACCCAACCACTATCACAAATGCTCATTTTCAGCCATTAATGAAGACCCAACCAAATAAGAGCATTAAATCCTTAAACCTTAGAGTAGATAACATAAATAACTCTTATTAACTCTATTTAGGTCAATGGGTTCATACCTAAAACCCTAAAGGTCTGAAAATTACTTTCCAACTACAAGCTCTAGCTTAGAAATAGTATAGAAAGGAAGAGGAATAGGAAAGACTCACCTTAGCAATTAAAAACACTAATCCTCTTAAAACTCCCATCAATAGGTGCCCCAGTAGCCCAAAACTTGTGCTCCTCCTCCCTCTTACTCAAACTCTTTTTCCTCCTTTCTAGAATTTAAATATTAAACTTGTTCTTTATTTAGAATTTCAGTCATGCATCGTGGCGCACGTAGTATAGGTCATGGTAGATAGTACAGAGAGGTTACTCTTATTTTAGGACTATACACCATGGCGCATGTAACACATGCCTCAATGGATAGTGTGACAAAGTGTAATTTATGTTTTCTTCCTTCATTAGGGTTCAAGTAGCCCAACTTCACTCTAGACTCAATCTAAAAGGCCATAACCACCACCTAATAGGTCCATTAACTCTCTCTAACCATCCACTAACCCAAGACCACTTACATTTACTTATTTACTCTCATTTACTTTAGTTAATTTTCAAGATGTTACACCAAGCAAGATGAAAGTGGGAGTGAAGGAAAGGAAGAAAGGAAATGACACAAGAGAAGAATGGGAGGAAGATAAAGTAAGAGAAGTTGGTCATTGACAAAGTTGCCGATAGAGATTAGGTTGGTAAGGCAAAAGGAAAGAGGTCGACAATTAGGGTAGGGTTAAAATAATTAAGGGATTAGATTGTTTGAAATGTGATAAGCAATGGCATAATTGTCATTTTATTAATGATTCCATGAAAGTTAATCCAACCTTATGGATTTTGATAGAATTTGCTTTCACTAAGAAGCCTATTCTGTGCCTGCCAAACACAAAAAATTCAATTTCACTTTCGCTTCTCTCCCTTCAATTCCACCATACCAATTACCAAATAGGTTATATGATATATTTTGATGTATTGAATATATTTTGAACTCTGAATAATTAAATACGAAACAATTTTGCCCTCACTGTTAATTTGTAACTAATAAATGTTACTTTAATAAAGTGGGGCCCACATTCTCTATCTCAGTGCATCTTTACCTCTCTCCTCCCTTCCTCTCCTTACCTCTTTCTCATTACTTCATACTGCTTTCATGAAAGCAAGCAGAGCAAAGCCTCCTTTGATGTCAAGTTTTCTAACATAACATCTCCTTGCAAGAAAAAAATTGTGGAAAAATAATATCAAAATCAATACACCTCTTTCATGCACTACACCATAACACCTCCTTGCAAGAAATTTTTTGACATCAAATTTTCATAATAGGTCACTTCATCAATATTGCTCAACTTTGCAAAATAATGTGGTGAATTTAAAATCATTACCATTCCATTTCTTCTTTAACCACTAATAATATCCTCTCTTTCACAAGCAATGATCATCACTAAGAAGTTTAGAATCCCATTATTCACCCCATTATCGCCGAATCTTAGAAATGAAAGTGAATCTCCCTCCTCAAAGCTCTCCTTACTCTTCATTCTTCAATCTACTCTAAATCAAGCAAAGTATCCATGCTATCACTTCACCTTTATCCTCTTTGGCTTTGCTCAGTCTCTCCTGCTTGCTTCCCTGCACTTATCAGAGGGACCATCATGTCAGCCTGGTTTTCCTTAGTTGCATGAATTCATCATATCACTTCTTTAGCCTTGTCAAATAGCTTTGCACCAAAGCATATAAAAGATAGTGAGCTAAAATAGTAGATTCATATCTTGCAGGATGGGATTGAGAGTAAGAAAGGATGAGGGGCGACCATGCATAGTGCTTCTCGACTGTGTCTCTAAGGGACAATTGAACAATCAAATCATGAATGTTGCCGAGTTGGATAAGCCAATAACTCGAATGTGTTTAGTTTTCTTTTTTAGTAAGAACCACAACATTACCTTACCTTCACCATGATACTGATTCCAAGTTCCTATAGCAATGCATGAGCAGATTTATCATCAACATGATGATGGGAATAGAAACTAGAAGGGTGACTAAAAAGATAGGGAGAAGGGGGAGAAGAAAAGCAAAGAGACAAAGAATTTGGACCAAAAAAAATGTAGGCCTCACCTGCTTAAAGATTAACAATGAGGGTGAGATGGCTCTATATTTAATTGTTCAAGGTTTAAAATATATCAAATACAAATTTAGAGTTTAAATTACCCATAATTTAGGTTTAAATTGCTAGTTAACCTTATAATATTAACAAATAATAATAACTAGTTGTGTGATTGTGCCTATTCTTCATGCGTAGAGCAATCTGAAGTAAATGGAGCATTTTTCATAGCTCAAATAAATTATTAATATTGCTTTCTTAAGATTCTATTATCGCGCTCAATACTATTAGTTTGCTTGAGTCACTACTTCCTTCATTGTTTATTCCCACTATCGTTACAGCTACGAACATGGTTAGTTTGTTCTTTTAAGGTGTTTTTACTTGAGAGGAAGGTTTTTAATATTATCTCATTTAGTTTTGTTGAATGGGAGGGAAGGAGAGGGGTTTTTAATAATCCTTTGTTGGGTTCAGGAGAGGAGGGGATGAGAGATAATAACTAATTTACTATTTCATCCCTATACATTAGTTTAAAATTTTTTTAATTGTTCCTTTTAGAAAATACTTTTACACCTCAATTTAAATTGCGTGATTTCTTAAAAATTCACTCTCATTCTATCATATTGTTAACATGTGAATAAAAAAATTAAACAAATAATTATAATGATAACAATTTTTTATAAAAAAAATAAATTCCTTAAATATAATGAATTGTAATTTTTTTAAAAAAATCCAATAGGTCAGTTGAGATTTGAGAATAAAGCACAATCTGATATAAATGAAAGTTTTTTTTAGCTATAGGTATACTTAAAATATTAAAAAAGATAAAGACAAAACAGAAAAAAATAACTCCTCTCCAAAACAACTTAAATTTAGAGGGGAGGGGAGGAGTTATTTTGGCTCCCCCCTTTCCAAAATTTCTTAACCAAGTAAATGGTCCCCTCCCTTGCAAAACTTTCCAACCAAATACA